AGGTTTGCAGCAAAACACTGCTCGATAGCTCAACTCTTCGGCGGCCTTTTCTTAGCAGCTATACGGAGCTAGCTATATGTTGCATATTCTAAACTCTGCAAAGGGAAATTGTTTAACAGAAAAAGAAAACCACACACTATGTCTGAAAAGCGACATAAAATCAATAACTTTGCGAATTACCAAAATGTAATAATGAGAAACAGTCCCGCCTTCGACTGCCATGTTTTTGTTTTTTCTCAAGACCGTTATCTATGGTTTTTGACGTAGTGCGTATGATCAGTACACAAATCCGCTGGCAAGACCCTTGCTGATCGCTTTGCAAGTTGTGAGAACATCGTTTGGATTTCATTTAAGAGAATGTATGGGAAGTAGCTTCCCCCCGCCCCCCTGATGTAGACCCTGACGCTTCAGTGTAAGAATGGAGATTAACTGATGAGTGGGTCACCTTTTCGATGGCCTACCAAACAGATTTGTGTTAAATATCCATGCACTCAAGATTTGCGTAGTTCACCTGCTGGTGTTCCTGCTGGTTTATTCCGCTCTTTCACTGCAAGTAGACCACTGTCTTGGCTTCGACGGTGAACATCTAACTGAATTATAAATATTTATTATATATAATAAAGTGTTTTAGCATGGCTACCATGAAAACTAATTCAGGTATTAAAACTCTTTCTTCTTTTTTTATCGGTGATATCTTAAGAGGGAGACTATGAGGGTTTGCCGTGCTGCAAGAAGTCTTGGCTGCGGGAATATGGAACAAGGAATAGCCAATGATAACTTGGAAGAAGGGAAAAAGTCATGGAAAATTTAACGGCTGGCATCTATACAGTGAAATTATCAACAGGGATAAAATCACGATATGTTAACTGTAAAACATAAAAAGAAAATTGTTACATTAAAGCTGTTAAGTGACTCAGTTATTCTTCTTTTTATTCCATGTATTCAAAATGTAAGGAAACGAATACGTGATGAGCCGCTGGAAAAAAAAAAGTGTTTGAATACTAATTATAATTAAAAACCTTAGACTGCCCGAGGTTGTTTATTCTTTCAAGGTACATTTACTTGGCAACCTGAACTATCAATCAATCAATCAATCAATCAATCAAAATCAACCAACAAAAGTTACTCAGTAAACAATCAAGCACTAAATTCGAGAGTAAGCCGTTAGTGATAATCTAACTGCATACAGGAAAAGAAATAGTTGTGACACTGCTCTTGTGTCGTTAACTGAGAATTGGAAAAAAGCTCGATCTTGACGAACACAAAATTGTTGGGGTTCTCTCAACCTCTCAACTGACATGAGTAAGGCTTTTGATTTCTTATATCAACCTCTCATGTTAGCTAAATTAAAAGCTTACGGTGTAGGTGACAATAGAGTCAAGCTTCTTTACTCTTATTTTACAGATCGTTATCATAGAGTCAAACTGGGGCCAGTAGTAAGTGAATGGGAGGTGTCCAGGGGATGCCCTCAGGGGTCAGCATTTGGGCCACTCCTTTGGAACATCTATCAGAATGATCTTGCATATGATATTGATGTTAACCTAACATGCATGCAGATGATCATCAGTTATATGCTATGAGCAGTGACATGGAGATTGTTAATGCTAATCTTACACATAGTGCTAAAGTTGCTCCAGAGTGGTATACTTCCAACTTCATTGAAGGAAATCTTGATAAGTATAGAGTCCTGCTGCTTGGTAGCGAGCCTGGCAACAATATTAATGTAGTAATTGACAATGAAGTTGTAGTATCTACTGACTGCTTAAAATTACTCGGGGTATCAATAGACAGGCACCTTCATTTTGATGATTAAATATAAAGTATAATCTATAAGAAAAGCAGTCAGCGTGTAGGAGTCCGGGTGCGGCTGAGAAACTTGTTACCCACTGGTACTAAGTTACAGCTTTTCAAAGCTGCAATTTTTCCCTACTTAACTTATTCTCATCTTGTCTGGCACTTCTGCCATGCTAGTGACAGTAGAAAATTGGAACAAGTACAGGAAAGGGCACTCAGAAATATTTACTTTGACAGATCATCAAGTTATGAAAAATTCATTATTGAATATGGCTAACCTGTGTAGCCTGCTTAACCGACGGTTATGGGATATGGCCCGTCTTATGTACAAGGTTAAGAGTAATATTTGTCCTAAATACTTTGCTGACCTTTTCCAGAGGACAGACACCAAATATCCACTGAGGAACAAGGAATTTGTAATACCTAGGTTTAATAATGCGATTACACATGGAAAGCATTTTATTAGGTATAATGGCCCAAAGTTATGAAATCTACTACCTAAAAAGATCAGGGACCTTCCTACACCATCTGTGTTCAAGCAACATTTATTCTACGGCAGTTGTAATAGGTTCATATTTAACACGCGACCAGCAGTACTGCTAGGATCAGCGATGTTGATGTCACAATGTGTGGTAAAAGAAATATGAAATATGAACCTAGTATAATATTACGGCCTCACTCTTCACGGGGTCTCCGTAGCTCAAGTGAATAGAGCACCTGCCCGGTGTTTGCGAGGACAAAGGTTCCAATCCTGATGGGGACTCAGATTTTTTCCTTGTCCCACACTCATGACATGCTGATCATATAATTTTCTCAAAAATTGTTTCATTCTACATGGAGGATGCAAGCAAGGGAAGAAAAACAAAATTTAGAATCAGTACACTTGACAGCAGAAATGACATGAAGTTCAAAAGTTTGCAAGCTCGACACAAGCTCTTTATCTCACAAAAAAAACAAACAAACAAACAAATAAACGATCACTGAGGCCTATGAAATTGGTGACAAAACTGCCAAAACCGCTCTTTCTAACTTCACCTAAAGACGAATTTAACAAGTCATAATTTTCAAGACAAGAACTTGAAAAGGTTATTTTCCTGATCCACTAGGTATCAAATGACAGTCCAGCTGAAACTTATCATCATTACATAATCATACTCAAGAAAATATTTCCACAAGCAAACAATCAAAATCACTACTTAATTCCAGGTAGTGAGTGATGTCACCAGATGGCATTAGCAACTCACTGGTTCAGACATTTGTCTTGAGAGTTTGTGACTCAAGCCTGAAGTAGCCCGTGTTGCAGATGTAATTTAACCTTGGTTTGTAACATCTGCAAAGAACTGCCAAGATCCTTGTTCTGGGTCCCTAATGGACTCAATGAATTACCAGAAGTGCCTTTCAAATTTCCTTTCATGCTGATTGACATGGCACATTGTCAAATCCTGGTACACAGGCGGAGGCCCAGAACAAGGATTTTCGCACTGTTTCGCAGATGGACTTAACCAGAGTTTAGTTTCAGCTGTGGCGCAGGCTAGCCTGAAGGAGATGGCTGAAATTCAGGGTAGTGAAACTGCTACAGTGTAAGAATGTCAAAAGCACAGGTTTCACTGTAAAAACATTTTGAAAACATTATGTACTGGTATGTCTCAAAGCCTGTAACCAATATCCAGATCAAAAATTAAGTTCCTCTTCAGAAAAATCTCTGAAATAATTCTTAAACCATCCAACACGTTCCTTTTTCATTTCCACAGTCAAGTGAGGGTTTTTCTGCAGTCCATTGATGACCAGCTCCATGAAACGACGCACTGGTCCTTTACTTCGAAAGTCATCCAATAGGTATTCCAGGAATACATGTTCCTCAAAACTAATTCCCTCCTCTTCAACCTTACAAACTTCATTATCTACTGGATACTGCCAAAGTTTATCAGAAAGATTGATTTCATCTCTAAAAGCATTTTGATACACCCCAATCTGATGGATCTTATCTGCTTCTTCCAAAAGATCAGATTGCATCAGAAAGGTATTCGTGCCCTGGTGGATCTTCAGATTTTTGGCCTTTGCATCATTAAGAATGCCGTCAAAGAGGCCAAGTCTGTTTCCTTCCTTGAGAGAAAACTCTGCTAACTTAGTCTGTGACTCCTCAGTTTGTTCATTGTACTCATCCATGATATTCTGTGAAAGGTTAAATGATGTCTTACCCCAATTCTCCACAGCAGCAACAATGGTTTTTGCTGTTCCTAGTTGCTTTGGTGCAACTTTCAACTCTGAGAGGATATCTTTGATTTTATTATTCAGCTCAGGGTCAGATTTACCTTGTGATAGCTCTGGCTTGCTTAGACTTTTCTCTAAATCTTCAAGATTTCTTTCAACCCACTTTCTTTCTGATTTCTGAGGCAGGGACTTACTTTTGCTAGACAACAAAGTTTCTCCAAACTTTTTTCTTTTTCTACTCCTTGTCTCTTCTATAGACTTCTCTAGGTAACTCTTCATGTCACCATTCCCAATTCCTTCCACAGACTTCAATGAATCCAAGAGACTGGATGAGCCACCAGACTTCAGCTTCCACTCGGCCTCCTCATCTGCTAACTCCTGAACAATCTTGTTGTACTTCTTATCCCCCACTCCTCCATGGAGAAAATTCTTTCCCAGCGTTTTTAGACGAGGTTCAATTCTTTCTGGGGGCTCTGTTTGTTCCTTGGTGTCCACATCTTTTTCCAATTTTTCTCCTATAATCAACTTTTCAACACTCTCCAAGTTAGGTTTTGAGCCTAAGTTTTTAAGATTCTCCCGCAAGGAAGATGCCCTTAAACTACCGCTTTTCCCATTTTGGACGACTTTACTTGACAACTCTTTCGAATCTAAAGCATTCTCTTGTTTCTTGACCTCTTGGGATACAAAATCTGCAGATTCGGTTTTTCGTTCAGTTCCTTCAGTAGGGTGCTTCTGAACTTCAACCAAGGACGACGTTGACACATTTGTATCATTACTATTTTTGCTGGAGCCCGAACTTGCACTTCTGAGTAACAAAACCTTGGGAAACGAACGGTAAAGCAAAGAAGGAGAGGTGAAAACTCGACCGTTCAACATTGTGGCCACTGGCAGCCGTCCACCATATTGCGTTCCCAGCAGTCACCGCGCTATGAAATCCATCCCGAAAGCCATTGCGCTTTACTCATCACCAGGCTTTCCCTGTTATTCCCATTGCCATCAAAATGGCTGACTTGAACAAAACGCTTGGTGACGGATCTTAGAAGCTAGTAGCAACATGGTTGGAGGATCAGGTACTTTGTTAAACTTGTCCATTTGAAGTGCTAAGTCTCAAAATATCCGGCCACTTATTTGAATTTCATTCAGTAACAAAAGCGCCTTTTGTGTTTCTTCCCGTTCTTTAACGTTCTGACGTGACAAATTAATGTCTGGGTAATAAGCTAAATAATTTACTATTCTAGCAGTCTAGCAGCTGCGCATGTCTAGCAACCAGTTGCAAAAGTACTTGAGACACTGTACGTTATTATATTGTGGCTTGACCGGCCTGCTTATGACCCCGTGCTTGTGATAATTGGTTATCACCCCTCCTCCCCTAGTCCCAGCAACACAAGGACATGCTCAAAACTTGGAGGAACAACTTTGAATTGAGGGAGGAAGAGTGATGAGTATTATATCTCTTGGATGTATGACTAGCAGCAATTTGAAGTAAGAAAGGACGGGTTTTTGTTAACCTGTGTGGCAGACGTTTGAAAAGGAAGGGAAAGGGAGTTTTAGGCGCGAGAGAAATGCTAAGGTGTGCGCGAGGAGGAAGGGAAGGAAATGCCTGCCAGGAGACCATTGTATTTCTCGTTTTTAACATCCACCAGGCAAATGTTAAAATGCTGATTGGTCAGTCTTCAAAACATGTCAATCACAGCCTTATTACCTAATAATCCAATTGGTTGAAATTAACATCACGCTACTGAGTAACTTTAGCGACCTTTAAGTAATCATGTATGTTGTTAGTGAAGCATGATGAGATTTCTGTATGGAATTCATCATTAGAATTAGAAACTAAAGGTATCAGTTTCAGCTTGTAAGGAGAATAGAAGAAGACAGTTAAAAGAACGGTATGAAGGAAAAGACTTGTCAGCTAGGTGAGTTTTACTGACTGGTTTTTGAGAAGTCTCATCTCCCAATGGCTTGTTTTACTCACTAGTAGAAAGAAAGGAAATATCATGCTGCCTGGCCTGTGTGCTTGTTATCTGTTGTTTGACCTCAAATGCCGACCACACAGGCTATGCTTTATCAATGACTAGATTGTTGAATATGATTTTTGGTTTGAAGACTTCTTCTTGCTCATTATAGACGTTATAAATCCACCAGGAACTTACTTTTAATTAATATTATTGATTGCAGCCTTCTTGTAGATTTTCAAAGTTCAGGTCGTCTTTCCCCTTTTACCAGCGTTCTTTTGTATGCTCCGCAGGATCCAATTCAGCAAAGTGTTTTAATTTTTCTGAGACAAACAATCCATGCAAGTTGCCAAGACCAGCATGTTTCCTTCAGCAATTGACGTAATAGTTTTATGCTGGATTTTATATAACAAGCCACGCATTGTTGCAACTTTCTTCTTTCAATGGACGACCACATTTGAACTTTTTTTTATTGTACGTACCCTCACTTCAGATTTTTTGTTTTAGGAAAACAAAAGCTAAAACTAAGTGCATCGTGGCCAGACTTATTTGACAGCTAGTCATTCACAGTTGCGTTATTTCTGTATACATTATTAGTAGGCAGGATGGTGAAAACAATGGTTTCCTAGTAGACATTTTCTTCCCTCCCTCCTTGTGCACCCCGGCCCTTGCGTTTCTGTTGCGCCTAAAACTCACGTTCCCCTCCCTTTCCAACACCTGCCACACAGGCTAGTTTTTTGTCGAAGTGTCTCAACATTTCTGCAACTGGTTGTAAGCTAATCTATTGATGTTTCATCAATTTCCAGTTAGTGGAAGGCCATTCAAACCTGACCCAACGTCGTATGAGGAAACAGGAATTCCTTGGTAAGTTACTACTTACATATACAGTAAGAATAGAGTTAAGTTGGGAGTGGGGTAAGAGGGGCAAGGAAAGGGGTGGAGTGGATTGTAATGTAAAGTAAATTAAGGCACCTGAGTTAAGTTGCTGGAACTTACATGTACATTGGAGTGAAAAAAGACAAAGTGGAGTAAAGTTTGTTGTCAAAGGAAACAACGGGATACAAGGCTGTGCTCAAAGGAAAATTGAAGGGAGTCCAGTGTTCTGAATCTTTAAAATCTATGGTGCTTATCATATGATTTTCATGAAAAAAGTATGATTTTTAAGTCACCCAGTTTCAATTTAGGTGCCAGGGGCCACCTGACTCTGCTGGAGCACAGCCCTTGGACAGTAATGCTTGAACGTAGACCTACGTACATATTCAAAGTTCTGGCCCTAATTGTTGAAAAGGTGGATAACACTATCTACGGGATTAATCTCTCTGCATATTTGTAGTAGCCTTATGTTCTTAGGAAAACCACAGAGGCCATACACCTTTACCTCAATGTTAATGGATTAATCTGACTCTGTTTCTTGCAGTGGGAATCCAGCTAGGTATCAAAGTCATGGAGTGATTCGCATGAACAGAGGGGACACCAGGCCATTTGAGGATCAGCGGCTTGGTGTCCCAGGGATTGGGACTGAGTCTGAGGCTGATCAACATTTAAAAGAAATGGTGAAGAATCAGTTGGATACAAATGTCAGTCTGCAAAGGTTAATAGTACAAAATAATGTAACATTACATGTATTGTCATTGGTTTTGTTGACAGTGATAATAGGGGTATTGATATGGGGAGGAATGTCATGTGTCTTGCAAACGACACATCTTAAAAAAATCAGCAGCCGAGTCGTAGACTTGAACTGTACTGTTTTATGTGAACTACATTTACAGGCACACGTTAGCTTAGTTCTGTCTTATTTAAGTTAAGAAGGCAATTTTGGGCCTTTTGTCTGTGTCTTAATTTAGATGTGGGGGCGGGGGAGGGGTCTTTCGTCGTACAGTGTTTTTCCTTGCATAAATGGCTCTGATATACTTGATAGGTCAAAAATAACCAGATCGCTCACATGTATACAATACAGAGCAGGGTCTGAAATTAACGTTTTTGCTATGGGTATCGTCTGGTGACTAGATAAAAATTTTTGGTCTTCAGATAGAAAAAAAGAAGTTACCACAAATTTGTTTTCCGTTAAGGTTGATTTCCACTTACACGTTTTTGGCTATGCATGTTAACGCATGTAAATTGTAATCACATGAATTAAATAGAGTCAAGATAAAAGGTGCTGAGCTTAAACGAGAAGTTGAGCGAAGTTTAACTTTTACTCCTACAAGCAACCCTTCATGCTTTTCCTCTGTTTTATTTGCAAACATAAATTTTACACATGTACGCACATAAAAATTAGGTGACACTGGAAATCAACCCTAACACTAAAAAAAGAAAAAGAAAATGGATTTTGACATTATGTTGATTTCGTTAACTGTTATCCTAAGTACAAAGAAGCTACAATGTTGGCGGAGTGGCACATAAGTCGAGTTTCAACAAAAACCAATATCCTCTGATCCTTGGACAGCTGTTCAAAATACTAGAATGAAAACTTATCACGCTGCCTGGTGGCAACTAGCTTTGAAGTTCTATTTTTTGTTTTTGGCACTGTCTCTGAACTTTATTAATTATTCGTTTTCATTCTTTTTTTCTTTTCTTTTTCTTCTGTTTCGCTTTTTGCAGCGAGCTCACTCGAAAGAAATCATTTCAATCATCATCCAGTTATGCTCCGTTTTGCCCTGATAAAACAGGTGCTATGAGCTTAAAAGATTACAAGTCCCTACAGAATCATGAACAGCATGTACAGTTTCTCAAGGAATGTGGGTTTAATGAAGATGAAATTCAGTTCAAACTTGAACAAGAAGGTCACATTCCAAAGGTAAATTTTACAAAATAGTAATTTATTTTTAGTCCACATGGCCTGTTGTATAATGTGTTAATGCTACTCATAACGGAAAAGAAGAGTTCTGTTAGAGGAAAAAATATGTTAGTAAGTAAATTATCAGATAAATGAATAAATAATTCAGTAAATGGGCAAATGATAAATAAATAAAGAAATAAATAAATAGATTAATGAATAAATAATGTCCTAGTTGATTCCCAGAGGGTTTTAACTATCCCCCCCACTCATCTCTGTTATGCCCTCCCCCCCCCCATGGCATATGTTACATAGTACAACTTAAAGCCAAAGTGCCCCTATACTTAAGTAATTTATTGTTGAATTTATCTTGTCATTACAGAGTGCAAAGAAAGTCAGTTTTTTTAACTAGCTCCCTCCCTCCAAGATGAGCAGGATTGATTACAGTTGTCCTGTACATGTTATTTGAATTCCCCCCCAAAATTCAATTGCTCATTGGGTAAGTTACATTGTAAGAACAGAATTTACTAGCCCGATTACAAAGTCCACTAGCCCTGGGCTATTGGACATGCCTTTGTTTGCACACTGTATTAGAATTCAATAGGGTACAGAGGAATGCCAATAATTATAACATCTAATATCAATAAATTATTGCTCTATCACAGATTTTACCTATGTAGTATGTACTGTAGTTGAATAATTGTGTTGGAATTGTGGCTCACTAGGGGTGCATATCAGAGCTTACAGACCATCCCTGAATAGAGTTGTGGAGAGATACAACCTTTCAGTGATCTGGACCAGACTGATCAGGTCACAAGTCATGTCTGATGTTCAATCTGTTGTGAACAAGTTTCAAGCAGGAAAAAAATCTCTCTGCTACAATGTATAGCCTGCAAACAGAGCCTTTTCTCCTTGTTCCTCACTGACATGGATGTTTTTGTGAAACATCCTTAGTGGCGAGAAGAGAGCAGAGACGGCTGTATATTCATAGGCTATCTCTGCTAGTAAAGGTACAAAAATTTACAAGATTTTAAGTTTAACATATCTTCTTGTTGGACTTTTCTAGGCTCCAAAAAGAGGCAGATTTGTAGCAAATCCTGAAGCTGAACAAAAGAAGATTAAGGATCTTGAGGAACGAATCAAAATGCGAGAAGATGCATTGACTGTCCCTGATCTGTATTCTAATGTGAGAGTTCTGAGCAGGCATGCTTTGGAAGTGGAACAATCACTGCATAAAGGGACAGTAAAGGAGAGAAGTTTGAATCACTTGGTTCAACCTAAGAAGCAAGGTACAGTTTATATGAAGATGATGTGAACTGTGGAAATACAACTTTTAAAGGGGCTGTGTCACGGCAGTCCAGTTCATTTTGTCTAATTTTGCCAATCACTCACCCTCATTTGCTATGGAACTTAAAGGACGCAAAGAAATTACTTGAAAATGACAAAATCAGAGATCCGAGACAAACAAATATGTCTCCTGAGCACTATTTTTGAAGTTACAAGCAGCAGGGATCATCTTTGAAAAACTGTCAGGCTGAACAGTTTTCAAAAACCCTAATTTTATTGTACTCACTCTTACTAACAATGAAAATATTAAGGCAATGGAAATATTAAAGTAAAATTAGAATACTGGCTGCCTGGAATAACCATAGGGGCTAGCAGAGCCAGGCAGCCAGTTGACATCAGCATTAAATAGAAATATATTACAGGTCAGTGAGATAACTGAAGCACAAACGCACATATAAAAAGAAAAAGAAAAGAGAAAAGAAAAAGCACAATTTCTACGCTATCGAGGAAGTCTAAAATAGTTAAATTTATATATGAATACTTAGCAATTCATGAATGAGGCTGAGTAGGATATGAAGAATTAAGCAGATCAAGGAGGGTGTTATCGGCCCAGGTGGATGATACCCTTCGAGATCAGTTTAATTCTTCATATCCTGCGAAAGCCAAATTCATTAACTGCTTTATTATTCATCCATAGTAATTCCTAGTTTAAAACATAGCTAAAACATGCTTACCTGCATCGATGTTAAGTTCATCTTCAATAGTGTACGTTTAGGTTTGTCCAGCTCCGCAAATATTCACCAAATAGCAGATGTCACCCTCCGAGTTGTCTTCTTGCTGTTTTTGCTATGCTTTTAGCTATTATTTCGCCTAGTTCCAGCTGCAGTTCTAACTCTTGAAATGAATAAATTGTCCGCCATTTTTGTTTTCACAACCAAAACAACTCAATCTCGTTCCCAGGTCTTCTCGGTAAGGGTGCCTTAACCTGTAGCGGGCTGTATTTTTGACATCATTTCGTCGTTAAACACAAAATTGTTCCAAATTTGGTCATCAGTAACTGGTTATGGTGAATTATGTGTGTGCTTTTAGCCAACCAGAATTGGGGAAATATTTTGAATGAATAATGAAATAAATTATTGAATTCTGTCTTTTGCCGTTAGACCTTCCTAAATAGTACATAAATGAATTAAGACAACAACAACTAAAAAAAGGAAACGCAGCTTTGATAAGCCAAATTCACTGTAAATGAACGTTGCTATAAAAAATTACCACCGTCTTTCCCGCTGTCCGCCACTGAAAAGAGAAGATGAAAGATCTGAAATTTGTTTGATATTTTCTTCATAACCCTACAGCAGGGGCACCCAACAACGGTTTCCCCCTATTACTTTGAAAACACTTTTTAGGCTATCCAGAGTACTTTTTGATCTCTAGAAATGCATTCTAAGTGGCGCTAAAAAAATTATATCTATTCGGTCATTCTAGGGTAACTTGAGTCTTTTCGAAGTTAGGAGGGCTTCAGTATTATTTTCCCGAAATTTAGCAGCAATTTAAAGTTTTCCGAAAGTGATAGTTTTTCTGATTCCTTGCTGCATTGCATTTTCGATTCCGAAAATTGTAGGTTTCCTTTCTCTACGAAAAATAACCTAACCTGGGGAGTGAAATGGGAAAAATGAAACTTCAGAAAATCGTAGGGAATTTCTTAGATAAGCTTCGAAAATTGGGTACATGAATGGAACGGTCGTCAAGAAATTTTTAGCCTTCCTCAAGCTATAGAAAATTCTCGGGAATTTCTGCTTCTCCTGCTCCGAACAGATATTTTACAGAAAACAGTCTTTGGGTGCCCCTGCTATGGGAGCATTTTGTGTATGGCTAAAGGCACTAAATCACTAAGTAATAATTTCAGCCCCTTAAAATGATTGATGCCTCTTTTAGCTATGCCGCTGAATGATCCACTGCTGCAAACACTGCTGGAACAAGACAGGATCTTGTCGAAATCAAAACGGGTACTTGAATCGTCTACTTCCAGTGGGACAGATAACAATTGTAGCAAAGAGTCCTCTACAACTGAAGAGCAGCAAGAATTATGTGTGCGGAGGCCCAGCAGTGTGTCCAAGGAGGACAGTAGAACTGCTAATTTGCCAGCAAATATTCAACCCATTGACAAGGAGGAAATCATCCAAAATAGATTGTCCTTGGAGCAAATTAAAGAAATTCCGAAATTCACAAATTATCATCCTGGGGAGCCGAACAAGGTTGGTATGCTTCATATTCATTTATAATCGGGCGTAACCTAGCGCTCATTTCTCAGTTTTTAAGGACTGCTATTTACTTAGATATTGCTTCCAAAGAGCTGAAGCTTGTGCAAATTACTCAAGTTAACCTGATCTCTACATTTGAACTACATTTGTTTATAGGGTGACTCCTTCTATGGATTAACTCTTATTAGCCATTTTAGCCTTGCCCGTTGGACTGGGTGTGTTGTATTAGTGATAGGTGTTCCCTCACCTGGGAATCACATATCCCTAATGACGTGTTCACCCACCTGGGAAACACATATCCCTAGTAATATATGTTCCCCCACCTGGGAAACACATATCCCCAGTGATATGTATTCCCCCACCTGGGAAACACATATTCCTAGTGATATGTGTTCCCCCTTCTGGGAAACACATATCCCTAGTGATATGTGTTCCCCCACCTGGGAAACACATATCCCTAGTGATATGTGTTCCCCCACCTGGGAAACACATATCCCCAGTGCTATGTGTTCCCCCACCTGGGAAACACATATCCCCAGTGATATGTATTCCCCCACCTGGGAAACACATATCCCTAGTGATATGTGTTCCCCCACCTGGGAAACACATATCTCTTGTGATGTGTGTTCCCCTTACCTGGGAAACACATATCCCTAGTGATATGTGTTCCCCTTACCTGGGAAACACATATCCCCAGTGATATGTGTTCCCCTTACCTGGGAAACACATATCCCCAGTGATATGTGTTCCCCCACCTGGGAAACACATATCCCTAGTGATATGTGTTCCCCCACCTGGGAAACACATATCCCAACGGGGCTTAGTACAAGTTCACAGTGGAAGTTTAACAGCACGACTTCTTTGGATTGACTTTAGGTGCTGTTTATCAAGAACCTTCATCACAAGACATCAGAGGCAGACTTAGTCTCTCTCTTCATTAGATTCCAGGAAAAACAGGCCCCTAAAATCGCTTTCAGGTTGATGAAAGGAAAGATGAATGGCCAGGCGTTTGTGACCATGCCAGGTTGTCAATTTTCTCCTTGTCACTTATTTGTATGTATAAATAACACGTGTGTCCAATTCCATTTTTGTTTTGTTTTACCTCGGTTATTGCATGTCGAATTTCATTTACGACTAATTTTTCGCTAACGTTAAGTTCCATCACCTCCTGAAGTTATTACTCAGCCAAACCTCAAAGGCTTTAAGGCTGGCCGGAACAATTTTGATAATCTATTTAACGCTTTTTTTGTGAATTTTTGATGCTTTTTTTTAAACCTACAACAAAGCGGACTAATTTAGTTCTTTTAACTTAGAATAGTGATTTGGGGGGAATAGTAACCGAGCCTTCCCATTTAACAGACTTGATAAACGGTTAGCTTCTATTTGGGGTTAGGGTTGTTGCTATATATCTTTAAATCAAACCATTAATTCTTCAGCAAATCCTCAATGGCGTAATGGCATGGGAGATGGACTGCAGATTCTACGCTTCGGGGGGTTCGAGTTCTACTCACACCCTTCTAAACTTTTTTTCCTTAAAAATTGAAGATACTTAGACTGTACTCTGTACTTAGAAATTTCATGTAGGAAAAGGGGAATCTCTCAGAATGTCTTGTGACAGGGAATTGTCAGTTTGGAGTATCGAGATGAGTGCTCCTCTAGAAAGTGATCCCCGCCAAAATTTTCGCTTGCCGATTAGATACATCTGTGCGCATGCGTGGGGTACTGGCTGTACCGCTGAGTGTGGTGGTGTGGTATTCCTCTTCCTAAATTTTGGTCTTATTTCTTAAGCTGCCCCGTACGAGATGAATCTGTTTTTTTTTTCTTCTGAGAAAACAGTATCACTTTTGAAAGCTTAAGTACTTAAAGACAAATTTTTTCGTTGGCGGAAACCTCTGAATAAAGTCCGGCATAGTTTATATGGCTTTCCTAGTTATAAGGCAATTCGGCAGGGAGGATTAATGAATTAATACGATACCGTGCATTAAAACGTATTCAATCGCATAGAGGCCCTAGAAATGTTTTAAAAAAATCATGCTTGAAGAGTATTCTTTTCTACAAGTATGCTTCATCGAGTTTTCTCTTTCATAGACCTGTGTTTTGATCCTTATGACTTTGGTTTTTTACGACAGTAAAGTTTCATGTCCAGCCGACTAATTCAGCGGTGGTTTATACGCTGCATTACATATTATTGCAATTGAAAAGAACCTCAGCATTAAGAATAATGTAGTAATGTTTACTTTATAATTTATTGCAAAATGTTAATAAACCCGTGTCAAGGGAAAGATCAAGAATGGACCTTGCCATGATTCGCACACAAATGTAATTAAGAAGTAAATGAGATTTTTGATATGATTTATCTATCTCCTTTAGAGCCTTTATATTTACTGGAAAAGTCATTATATTTTGCGTTGAAAAGTAATAAGACGTTTTAAACCACTTTATTATAGATTACCTCCATTTTTATTAAATTTGGCGCCGGCGCTACTTTTTGCGGCTGGTTTCATTACATCTGCGGTTAAATTCATTTTGTGGCGTAGCACTTATGCTCGATTTATGCACGTTTTGTTTTTGACTTTAGATATTGATTCAGCAACTGCGGCGTTGAATTTGGTGAATGGCTATTTGTTTAAAGGTAAACCCATCATCATTCAGTACGGGAAGCAGAAGAAGGAACCTTCACACGAGAGCGTTACGACATCGAATGCCTCCCCGGCAAGTACGTCAAAATGGTGAGTTTTTTACAGTCCTTTTCGCGAAGCTTAATCATTTTTAAGTGTTTGTCAAGGCTAGTTCAACTATGTTTAAAACAGGCGCGTTTGAGCTCACTATTTCTGGTTGCGAGACACACCCGCAGACTTTCCAGTTTAAAAAAGTAGGAATGTGTCCTAGCGGCTGTACTATTATCGTATCTGGCCTCATGAGGCTGACTGTTCGCGGTTTTTGGATTTGGATAGGCCATTAGAAAGTAAAATCCGCGCGACTCTTGCCTTTTGCAAAAACGTGTTTCTTTATTTCAAAATCTTCCGCATTGTTGACCCGTTTTTCGAGCTGAACACAAACTCGACAAAGTGGAAGTAAATCCATCAAAAAGACAAAGATTTGAGACTGCATTACTTTAGCTTGTGGTCGCAAATTGTTGGATTTTTCGACTGCTACACACCTCGAACTCCCAAGGGGAGTGGAAATCCGCTTAAGTACATGAGAACTGCGCCTCAAATTAAGCGATCACCCTCCCTCCATTTACATGTTGCGGCCAGTTATCAGGGTCCCGGCGGACAGAATAGTCAGTAAATTACTGTAAACCGAACCTATTGAGAGCGGTCAACCTCTGTTATGCCCTTGCTTGTTCATTCTCATGGCCGGGAGTGTCGGCTTGATAAAATTCTGTTATAATTTCGGTTTGCGACCTCTTTATGGTCTGTGGATAAAAAGATTGCTTTGCAGACCATAAACAGAACTCTTAATATTCAGGCCTTCCACGTCAAAACCCAAGCGAAATCGTTAGTCAATGTCAGGTCGTAAAGTTGCATAAAACTTGCTTTTGAGGGGGACTACTCAGAGGTATACTTTCAAGGAATAAAGTGAAAGAGTGAGATGACAATCTCCCTTATGACAGAGAACGCGATATAACGAACAATACTTTTTCATCTAGCTATTGCAAATGTATGGCAAAGGACCCAAATAAAGAGTACCACCTTTATAACTCGCACGTTTCCGCATTCACTTGAAACGAATAAGAGAAGGGTAATGAACACTGATATATAAACAGTAATAATAAGTACAAAGGTATTTGTTGTTGCCCAAGACTGGTTTACTTTTATTTTGTGTCTCCATATCCGTCCCATAAAACCAGTAAAACTCCTCTAGCTCAGAATTGCAACTGAGTGTCAAATGATTTCATATTTGTCCAGTGCTCCAATGTAAACAAGCAAATTAGCCTTCGCCTGCTTGACTTATCCTATTCTTTGTTGTTCGTTGTACTTATACAGTACGCTGATCGCTTGCCCTTTTGGTTTCTAGTGGATTTTCTAAACGAGTCGTATTTAGGATTAGGGTTGCAAAAAATATACGGGTGCTGGCCTTATGATGTATTTTAGCACTGTCGAGTTCTGCGAAAACTGTCCATACTGCAATCGACAATTTTAACACGTACCTTACGCGTGTATGTAAGGTGGGGCGTTGTTGCCTCGCAACGTGTAAGAAGCGTCATGTCATTAATTATTCATGAAGTCAACACTGGAAATGTCACAATCTCTGCTACATTGCAAACCTTTTGCTTAACTTTCTTCAATATTTTATTCATGTTTAAAGTGCTGCATCAAATACTACACCAAGCATTTTTCCAATATCCGGACACCTTGACTCAGTCTAATACATATGTTAATCATTTGTTCTTGTGTTTGCGGATAGAATAGGAAGCTTATTAAAGCAAGTACCACGGCGGCGGCAGCAAAAATGTCAACAAATCAATGGAGATGACGAGCAAAACTAACATTCTTTCACGTGCATTCCACTTTTTACAACATTTCTTTGTGTCCTCGCGCGACTTTACGAAGTCAGTGAAATTTGCTTTTGCGAATCTACAATTGTAGTTAACAATTCCAAATCGAGCGACTCGGGTTAATTGCCATGAAGTTCGAAAGAATGCTAGTCAATAAGTGACGTTTTCGCTGCGGTTGACGCCATTGTTCCCAAGATTCCCCATTACTTACAATTCCGTCATTGGCTTAAAGTCTCTATTTACGCCGGACCTGTTCTTAACCCAGGAGGTATATTATTTGGGTGTAAAGGAAAAATTAACTTGACGGCGCTAACAGATGGAAATTTTAATTCTTGGTCCCACTCCATTCGGTTTGGTTTCCGTTTTTCACAAGGATAAAAAGTTTAATCTTTGGTGTTGAAATACAACATGAATTTGTGGTGGCAGTTTCGAGTGGTGGAACATTCGTGAAAATGGATTCTCGAACAAATTTTGACGAGAAAACGACAAGACTGCTACCGTGAAAATAGCTTAGATAACGACAGATCCGAATTAGGTCCATCTGATTTGCACATATTACAATTAAATTCGTCATTCCCGGTAATTTTTCTCATTTTCTACCCAATGAAAAACACTTTGTGAGAAAAGAATTCTTATAAGGGAAGATTAATGTATGTAAAAAAACGTAAAAATAATAATAATAATAATAAAACATAAGCGTATTGCAGTTTTCATCCCCATCTGAAAAAATTAAAGAATTAAAGTCAGTTCTTAATTAAAAGACCCAGCATTCTTTAGCTCTCGTTTCTTTCTTTTTTGTTTCATCCTGTAGATTTAAAAGCTGAGATGCTATTTATAGTAGACGTATTAAAGGAAAAAAATTCAAAATGGCTTGAAATAATCAAGGAAGCTTTATAAGGCCACCCTACTGTAAACTATGGTTCTTGAAACTTCGAAGTTGTATTCGGTTTCCGTTTCTCATACATGCCGACTTCTTAACACCTTTTTTGTTTGTTCCGCATGTTGTTATGGTCCTGAGACCCGGGGGGTTTTCTTGGGTTAATTTTTGCTGGGTTTGTGCCGCTGGTATCTCAGAACCCCTACCCCAGTACAGTCTATTCTGTAGCCATCTTAGTCACTTTGAGAAGAAAGTCATTTTCGTAATCCCAACTTAGTCACTGTCTGTTTATGCATCTGCCTTATAAAACCTTTTAACTCGGTCATCCTGAAATGAACTGACACATTTCGGTTAAACTTAATGTGCGGTAAATCTTTCTATTTTTAAATCCTTACATACTTGCGAAATTTCCTGACCCCCCATGCAAATTCTGAAATGTACGTCCCTATTCTAGTAACTCTCATAATAATGCAACCCCATAATAGTCAATCCAGTCGTGATAATGCAGTCGTAATAAGACGTTTTATCGTCGAGAAAAATAAATGTACCCCAGTAGAATAGAGAGTATACTAAAGCCACTTATTTTTAAGCAAGGGATTAAAGATCGATAATCATGAATACATGGAGTGTCAGCCAGTGGGCATCTGTAGGCGCAGCCGCCAGAACGTCCTGTTTCAGCAGAGAATTCAATAAAACTGTGTTTCGAAAACAATAAAAAACGATATATCCCGTAGTTAATTATTTTTCGGGATTAAGATGCATAGACTATTTTCCTGTTCTAATCAGACTTTTTTTTCTCTGACAAGCTGTCCTGTACGTGGGAAAATCGGAAATATTTTTTATTGCAAATAACTTGGCATTTTGTTTCCTGCGTTTTGTATGGAAGCTATAACTTGCTTAATTAAAACAAAAGCGTAACCGGCTTCGAGTGAACAAAATTCAGTGGAAGTGTGGCCATTTGACTGAAAGCAATTCCGTTTGTTTCAGTTTAGTTGTCTTTTTCTTATTTGTATTATTGTTTTCTTGAGGTAGTCAGAAAATGGAAAAACGAAACGATGTATGGTAGTTGTAATGTAATAAATCCACTCCGCTTTAAATCATCGCTTTTTAGTCATTTCCTTCCGTAAAAGACAGTACTATCCAAACAACGTTTCTATGAATATTGCTCTTAAATAATGAAAAGCTTCAAGTCAACCGAGGAGTTTTAAAACTGTAAATAGCCTTATTCGGCTTGAACGATTTTGTAAAGACAATTCTAATAGAACATTTGTAGGGTCACTGACCCATAATTTTAGCTTAAGTTGTCTTTTCATCAGCAAACCTTTTCTCCAGGTTGTTTGAACGACTACCTAATCTAAAGCTTCAACCACGAGATTCCTTTGTGATCGACGATGTTAAGCAAGTTCATTGCCATTCATCTTATTGATCCCTATGATTCTTGCATTTTTGTCGTGAAAAGAAAGAGATAATACTAAAGGTGTTCTCGTTCCTCAGATGTTCAACAAGCTTTTTTCCGCATTTTCCGTCGATTCACTGCTGAAACAGGAAACCTGTTTTTAAAATTTCTTCCATATTTCAGGAAAACTTGTGTGGGTTTTGAATGGACCATTTCACTGCATGCGCATTGGGTGTGTTGCGCTTGTGTCTGTTTTGGTCAGACATGCAACCTCGTTTCCAGGAAATTGCTTTACATGTAGAAGAGACACTGGTAACAAGGTTACACGAGACGGACTATGAACATCTTCAGAGAACATTTTTCTATTTCCGAGAATGATTGATGTATGCGTTTTGCTTTTTTTATTTGGACCCAAATTTTCCAAGGACCCCCTATGGGTTTGTAAATCTCATAAAAAAAAATTGTCCTTAAAATTTCGCCCTTGCATTGGATTCGAAAAGGGTTTCAAACACATCGATGAAATTACCTCGAAATTAGTTAGAACATGCCCAGCTATGCGTTGTCATATGATTTTCAACCGTCTACTAGTCGGATTCTCATCCCTGTCTTTAATAACCTGTTGAATCGATGTTTCATGTTGAATATGCCCAAATCAAAAGGCCCTTTGTACGTTTTTTGCCAACAGACATGCACTTTAACCCTTTAAAAGGCTGTAATACTCCCGTGTAAAAGCTTGAATTGCGCAATGTGATTTTAAATTGTCCCCTTTTTCATAGATCATTTTTTGTGGAGTCACGGTAGTCTTATGTACCGATTTTTTGGCTGTGCCGTGTCAAGTCAGAGAAGAGACTTCACCACATTAGCAAATCTGGGCGGACTTAAATTGACTTAATTGAAATTTATTGTTTCTTCCCAACCTCCGTCAAAAAGCCAGTTGTGTAAATCTTGTAAGAATTGGAGCTGATGAGGGCGCATTTGAATATAAAGCATATGTTAGATAGGTATTTTTGTAAATATTTAGAAGATTCACATTTTCATATGCCCTCGATTGGGCGTGTCAGCTAAACAGTGTGACACGTTCCTTTCTTTGTTTAGTGTCAAATTGTACTTCAGCAATGCGCTCAGAGAATGCTGCTCATCGTATGTTATTTCTCTGAGTACATGACCGGGAATTCTTTCGATTTTGCTGTTCTTAAATGAAGCTTGGGTGCTAACGTTTCTACCTATTTTCATTGTTTTTTCGTTCTCATAGTCCTAGTTTTAACTTTATTAAAATACCACAAACAGGCAGGAAGTACATGTAATTATGATAAACGTAAAGATTGGTTAATCAAGCTTTTGGCATCACTCCCATCAGGTCAACTATGATTCCATAGACAAGAAATATGTTCAAACTCCCGGGCATAAATTGTCTCACACACCCCTCTACGATGACACAGCACTTAATGCACAAGGTCGTGCCTAATCGGTGATGATAGCTTCTGTGGCTGATTCTATTTGTTGACTTGTATATTAAAGGGCTGGAGAGCTACATATAACCAAAGTCATGGTTCCCAATATTGGTGGCTTTAACTCTTTGTGTTATCCATTATCTTTATATCTGCGTACAACTTGTTAATATTCTGAAAAGACGAATTCTGTGGATGTTTGAAAAATGTGGTGTCTTTCTGGCCACTTAGTCGGTTTTTCTAGATCTTTCTATTGCGCTGCGCTTAAGATATCTATCACCTCTGCTTTTGCCTACCTAAAATAACTGTTATCTTCCTTTGCAGTATATAGTATCAGGGATTTACTGTTATCTGTGCATCCGTTCAATCTTGCCGAATAACTTTAAGATTGGTATTGACGAAACTCCAGATAAACAAACTGTAAATAGAATAGAGTGTTCACTAAAATGAGAGCTCATTTTTTTTTTTGACTCTTTAACACTTAAGAGTGACCAGCATTTGATTTGTTCTCAAAATATCATAGTACCGAATGTAAAAGTCTTGAGAATAAAGGAAATGGTCACCACACTGGTGTTGATTTTTCAGGAAAATCTCCTCCGTATTACAAAAATTCTTCGGAAAACGGTAAAGAGAATATGTAAAATGATATATGGGTGTTAAGGCATAGAAGAAGTGCACAGTGACCCGAGCCTCAGACGGTTCCAATTGGTGTTTGTACCCTCATATTATTTACGTCTTGAATCTCTCTTTTTTCATAGAGAGTTTTGCACCTGTTGGTTTGAGGTCAGTGTGTAAGGACCATTTAATAAGTGTACGAGGAGTTGATTTTCTCTTGCCTTATGTGTCATTGTTCGCCACAAATTAACCCTTTGGGTCCCAAGAGTGACCAACATCAAATTTCTCCTAACAATGTCAATACATTATTAACAGAAAAGTTTATGAGAATAAATAAAATGATCACCTCAGAGAAAATGCTTTGTTCTTTGAACAAATTCTCTCAACTAATTCAGTAAGGAAATGTATTGAGATCAGTTTGGAGAATTTGTATGTGGATCTTGGGGCTTAAAGGGTTATACATCCATTTTAAATATTTGTCGAAATCGTGCAGATTTACATGGTGTGGCGAAAACAGTGTGTATACCCTCGGGCAATTGTCATTCTTTTCCGTGAGAGTGATGCAAAGACTTTTAGCACCTAAATTCCATAGTGACGTTGAAGGATAAGATTTAAAATTTCATACCCCATGAACCGTCAGCATACCTAAAGTATTTTCAGAACCATTGTGGAGAGTCACACCAATGCACGGGCCATTTCCAAGTCCAAAAACTCTCACTTTCAGAACGAGGCTAATTGCAAAATGAGTGAAAATGAGTTTTATTTGCGTGAGAATACAAAATCATTTTCATATCAATGGCTTCGCACTTAGCCAATAGAGTGTTTTCACTTGACGTCATGGCGGCCATATTGGTGTCCCAAAACAATGAAACGGCAGCCATGTTGGTGTCCCAAATCAATTCTGTGGGAGTTAAACTCTTTTCTTATGCAAACGCCTCCTTTTGTTCCAATAAACTTGCATAAATGCTGGCCACGTGAGTGAAACTACTTTATGGACTGTTCTCGTACTTTTAAGATTTCCAAAAGATGCTTTTATTATTTTTTTTTGGAGAAAGTATGGCCGAGTCATAAAGTACATGTGCGTAGTTTTCTTGACGAGATCGAGAACTAATTCCTGTCTAAATTACATTATCTTATCAACCTCAAGCTGAAAAGGATTAAAAAGGTAAAAGTGGATTACAGATGAGCAGGAAATTAGAATTGTCGATCTGGTGAAACTCTGATCAAAAGTAGATTAAATAAGTAATTAACTAATAATTCTCTGCCGTGTTTATGAAGGGGATAAAGAGGTATCACGGTAACGTTTCGAAAGATACTGTGCTAGTATGTCGGTAGGCGACTGAGACTAAGTTAAATCAACGTTCTGACGAATTGCCAGCGTTTCGCCCGTTTTGAATCTCTTTAGTTATGGTGGCCAGTTTATGTTATCAACTCAGTGGATTAAACCAAATTCCAGCTGTCAGGCTATCAAGTCAAGGAATCCCAACTATAGTATATTTAGGAAAGTTAGTTTCAGCTATTGCTCCGCTGAGCGCTCCATGAGACCAGTATGATTTCCCGGGATTACAATTATTGTGGTATAGGTTCAAATTATTTTGTCTAAGAAAAATGGGACGTAACATGTAGCTAGAGTTTTTGTATCGTTTCGTTGTTGTTGTTGGTGGTGGTGGTGGTGGTTTGTTGTAGTTATCGGTGTTCTTTTTTTTCTCGTGAACTTTTAATGCTGGCATTCGTTCTTATCAAACCAACACTATTTTCAGTCTCTTATCGATTTCGTTTTCTATTGTGGTTACTCGAGATTGATATAAACCAACTTAGATATGAAGTGACGCACGTGATCTCTTAACTTTCGCGTTTAACATTTTTATCTCCTTAAGACAGCTGGGTCAGCGTTAAAGTTAACCCCTTTAAAGCAAAAGTCAGCTGACACAAAATGTACTTCCAAAATTCGTGTCCGTGAGTCAAATCATATGGTTTCATAGAGTCTGTATGGGGTGCTTGAATTCCCAGTTATCAGACATCGTTTGAATTCTCCGCTCATTTCTGAGTTATTCGTTTGGATCCAAGGCTTCGGCTGCCAGAGTCTCTATGTTGTAACAGTTTTAAGAAAACCATTTTTCAGTAACTTTTTACCTGATACTGTTTGCTTTTTTAGTTTTTTTTTTTAATGAATCGTGAAGTTTTTCAGTTTTATTTTGTTTGTAACTTTTTGATTAAAGGGATTAGGCTAAGGACATCTTTCCTCAGGGTGATGATCGGACGAAAGTTTATTTCTCCTTTCTTGCTTTTACTCATTTTAAAGCCGTGAGTAGCTGGTCGTCCGCCTTGAAACCGGTAGCCAATGCAGTAACCCGGCGTAGACGCCTAGGTTTTCTTTAACTAGTTTTGTGGCCTCTTTCTGGAAGAAAAGATACCCTTTGGCTCTCCTTGACTGTCATGTTTATTGCCTTTGAGATTTACATCACCATCACGTTTCTGATCCAAAATTATCATTTATCTGAGCTTGGAATCGTAAATCGTGGCCGGGCATAGCGATCGTTATCTTCATTTCCGGGTAGTAGTATTAAATCGTGCGTTGTTAACAAACTGTTAAATAAAATAGAACGAAACGTATTTTGAAAGAGCTGAGAGTGAAAAGATATCTAGAGGACTAGATAAACAGTGTTTGTAGGCAAACTCAATAACATCGACTATGAAGTTGTGTTTGGGAACTTTCTGTGACCTTATTTCATCCGTGAAATCTATTTTGCTGGGGAGCAGATGGTGGAGGATAGGGTCGGTGGGGGGCTAACCCTTTAAGCCCCAAGATCCACATACAAATTCTCCAGACTGATCTCCATACATTTCTTTTAAGAATAGTTGAGAGAATTTGGTTTAAGATCAAAGAATTCTCCCCTTGGTAATCCAATCCCTTAGGAATTCTAATAACCTTTACTCTTGATGATCTGCTGATGTTGTTAGGAGAAAATTGATGTTGGTCACTCTTGGGATCTAAAGGGTTAAAAGAAAACCATTAATGGCCCAAATTGCGCAAGGTACATTCCATCTTCAAACCTCTGAGATTCAAGATCTCACTTGTCTATTTTTGGCCAAAGACACTATTTTGTATGCAGTCGATTGTTTTCACATTATGTACGTAACCTTTTATCGATATATGGGGTGGCGTCTCATCGCTATGTTTGTTACTAAAATTACTTCAGTTGCTTTTGCCATATGCTAACATTTCGCCGGCCGGGTCATTACTAGTATGACGTAACAAAGTTGCGTTATAGCGACTGAGAATGCCAGCAATTAGTATTTGCGCATCAGAGTGAACTATCCCGCCCACCTCAGACATGACTACAGTCATAGTCTCGTATCATGGGTTGTTGTTTGATAATTTGTAAGCGTTGCGAAGGAAACTAATTTGCGTCATCTGTCCGCCGTTCCTCAGGAAATGCGTTTCGTGGTGATTTTAATTATAAATCGAGGCGTTGGTGGTTTTGTGATCGGTTGTGTAATACAAAGGCAAGTCTCCGGAGGTTAAATTCTTTGGTTTAGCGAGATTAACACTGGAAGTCCATTGACAAAAGAGTCAAAGAAATGAACCATTGATCCTGAACTAACTTATTTTACAGTGTACAGTCGGAACGGATCGATTAAGGTACGGCCTATTTTAAGCAGTTCATCTAACTATTTAACCTCCAAATTTATTTCTTAGAAATTTAACGTTTTCATTCTTGGGACTGTAGACAAAAACCTTCGTTGTGACCTTGCAAATGAATTCTTTTGAGTAATATAGTGATATGTATAAATATGATTTTTAGTATTTGGCAAAAATATATTTAGGATTTTTTTTTCTATTTGTATTTAAGCACACTTGGGCTCCAAAATGGTATTTTGTATGTATTATCTGTGTTAGGGTTCAGCTGGTCTTCAGGGTTATGTTATTAAAATCTTATAATCTTCTTTCAATCCAAAATCTGACTATCCGGTTTAGGTGTACAGTATATTAATCGATTGTGCTTTCTCCTTTATAGTACGACCGTCACTTAGTTCAAACAAGTACAGTTTTTTTGTTTTGAAACCTCATTTTTAAAACTTCTCAAGGTACAATCTTATTTAGCGACATGTAAGTTTTCTGTTAGGTGCTTCGTCACACGTATTGAAAACTGTCCTCTGATTTTATTTTGTTAAGTAGTATTTCCTTCTACTCGTGCGAACCATTTTTTTTAAACTCCGTATCGAAAAAATGTTAATAGTTACTATAACGAAAACATCCAAAGAGTAAGGAATATGAGTTTTGTGAAAGACCACAATTAATTTTATCTTGCTTAAATATTCACAAATATATTGGCGTCCACTTGATTCTTAAACAATCGGTAAGTGTTAATTTGCAGTAGCGATTAGATAGCCTTCCAGAATGAGTCTCATTCTGCTTGCTTGTGAGGGGCCAAATACTGAATGCGTAAAGTTTACGTTTGGAATATTTTTAAAAGTGATTTACGTTGCTCCATTTTTTAACTAGTTGTAGTTATGTCGCTCGAGCACTCTACTTGCCGAGTTGTTGAGACTGAACAATTATCTTGCAATACTCTCAAAAGGTGTTTGTACTATATTATCTTAGGCCTTCTTTTTTTTTTATCTCCGTCCTTTGTGATGCTTAAAGCATTTTACACTTCACCTGCCCACGTTTGTTTCGCAACTACGTGCATATGATTATTTCCTGAATTTTAGCAGTCATAAATGGCGTTTTGTTTCCTTTCGAGCCCAGTGCCAAAGCAATCAAAGTTTTCATGCCTGTCGAAAATTATGTTTTCCTTATTTCGAAGAGAATTTGGGTTAATTTCAGCTCCGGGTAAAGTATAGAGAAAAAGTTCGCAAAGCCTTCCAAGGTTTCAAAAAGGTGCTCGAAATGATCCTTTTAGTTTCAAAAACCCTGCGGTTTAAGTCCTGTTTACATTTGGTCAATCTGTCGGTCTTTTATAATTGTTCCTATAAAATTACCACGTTATATGCATTCTTTGACCTTTCAATTCTGAACAACGCCTGTTAATTGTTATGCAGGGCAAACGAACCGGCAGGTTTAAAATTAGTAAACAAATCAGCACGAGATCCTTGTGTATATCCTTTTGCTGTAGACGCAGCGTGAAATAGTCGCTTAGAATTGGAAAAAAAAAAAAACGGAAGTTAGAAAACCCGTAAGATTGGGATGATTAAATATTCATTCTATAACCTTCCCGATATTTTTTGAGAAGAGGGGGCGTCTGTACACAGGCTTAGCATTCTACATTTTTCTTTTTTAAACGTTTGAGAAAAATTGTAAATGAACGTGGCTTAATACACGTGAAAGCAGCTATGCATATGGTTTACGGTTTATCAGGGTGGTAATTTTAAGGGAGGAGGGGAGAGTTGGATGTGGTATTCACTGCTTTGACTGCTGTTCCGGTAACTCTCTCTAAACACTGTCTTTAAGACAATGCTGTTGGAACTACTACAAGTTTCTGATGTCCGCCTGATAGAGAGTCAAAGAAAATTACTGAAAAACGGAAGGGGGCAACGCTAAGTGTCCGTTTTGCGAATTAAGATGTCCTTGAAGAGAGATTCAAGCGAAAAAAAAAAAAAAAACGACTGATCAGGTCAACAGTGGTTGCCCTTGTGGAATTACATGTCGTCTTTTTTTGTTTTCCTTTTTATCTTGACAACGGAAAGGACTTTTATTTGTTTCTAGTCGAGTTAAAGCAACTGTTTTTGCGAGACGGTTTCTGTTCTTTTGATCTCGATTGTGTTAATTCTGAATATTTCTTGGGCTGTTTAGTAAAGACGACCTATGGTGGTTCTTTCGGTGTAAAAAGTATGTAGTGAAACCAAAAGTGAGTTAGACACTAGTCATTAACAAAAGTAGCACATGGTGGATTCGTGCATCTCGATTGCACTGATTGTGTTGATGCTTCGATTAAAAACTGCCGCTTTCATCAAAGTCTGTTCGCTGGTTAGGACTCTACTTGAGGTGATATCACTAAACCTCTTTGAGACAAATACATAAATACACCTGTCGTTGAGGTATAGTAGTGGGTTAATTCTAAATATAAGTGAACCATTATATCAGGGTTTTCTTTGATTCCAAAGTGTTTTCAAGGTTTTAAAGCTATAACAAAAAATCGTGACAAAGCTCCTTTTGGTAACAAATAGTTTGCCTCTTTTTCGGCTTGGCACTGTGAAAGGCCTAGAAAAGGTATCTCGACAGCTCTTATGAGAGTCATTTTAATTAAAGACACTCTTAATTGGACCAATCCAGGGGATAGGGGGTAGTAACCCCACACCCACCCTCTCGCTTGTAGTTTGTCCGGTTGTTCTGCCTTCTGTCTTACCACAGACAGCCTACCAGACACACAGTGACCGATGAGTTATCTTAGTATAGACAAAGGCAAATAATTTTGTAAAAAGCTGTTTTGAAAATGATGCAAATAAACGCCATTGAATGATACTGGTTATGTTTAAGTGAACTGATCAAAAGAAACAAACAAACAAGAAATATAAGTAAAGAAACAATAATTGTAATAACAAATAACAAGTTAGTAAACAGTGATTTCATCATTTCCATCCTCACTCAGCATGTTTCTGTCATGAAACATTCCGTGCTCTAATCACACCTCATTTATGACCTATCACTTTACTGGTGACGCCTCGAATGACTCCAGACAATTCAACTCTCCGGGTCTCAGTCGACGCAAGCGGGTACGCTGCATGAAAAAGCAAAGAATCTGGTATTCCAGTGAAAGATTTGGTCAAGTAAGTTTAGTAGTTTCCTATGAGAAAAGCTCGAGACTGAAGGATTATTATGAAAGATTGGTAAGCCAAGTGTGTCCTCTGCATTAGCACGGCCACGCTTGACCATCTGCTGTTTCTCATTGCTCAGACCCTTTTTTGTATCTCTTTTATGGTACTAAACTTGAAAAACAAAATGAAGTTTTAGAAAGTCTGCCTTGCATTTGCAACTGAAGTAGGTTTTGGTTCAGGAGGCCTTTTAACTCCTCGTTTTGATCCCGGAATTTTTGTGTGATCACTGCCTGGACTATTTGCCAGTAATCTGTGTACTCGACTTGTGTTGTAAATTACTCGTTCCAACCATGTTACCTATTGTCTCCTTTGTACATTCTCATACTACTGAAAGGTGCTTTCCTGGAGCCTATTTCTCAGAAGTTGTCTTCAGCCTTTTTATTCCAATACTACCCAGAAGGCCTTTATATTGTGGTACCATTTTTGGTCGTTTTCGATGCAGACTGACACATAATAGACGCTGTTATTCAATTGTTTGTTTGTTTGTTAGTTGGTTGTTTCGTTTGTTCGTTCCTTCGGTTTTTGTTGTTATTGTTTTTTTTCCTCGATGGTTATCAAACATGAGGTTTAAATAGAGGTGGGTGTCCAGGGCAACTTGTAAAGTAAAGTGCAGTTCATTCATTGTTTCAAGTGCCATTCTAAAAAGTACTTCTTGTGGTGTATGTTGTCAGCAAGCTGCGATCAAGTGGTTTTAATGAGCAGTTATTCCATTTACTTTTTCAACGGTTAATAGGATAAGGATTTTCCTAAATTCTCTCGCTTTTTTCGACGTTTTCATGTCGGAGGAGGAGGAGGAACGATTGATTCTGGCTATTGATATGATCGCTAAAGTCGAAGCTGTACATAACAAATCTCCGGCCCCCTTGGAGGCCTTTGTTTAATTCTTTTTATTGTTCAACTTTAATTCTTTTTTATCATTTTCCATTAAAAATAATAATAATGATAAATACGGAGATAATAAAAAACAATTAAATTTGATTCAAAAAAGATAGAAAGAAAAGAAGAAGAGAAAAGGAAAAAAGTGTATATAATAATCTTAATAACTTGATTCCCTGCAAATCGTCCGTTGGAGTGAATAGGGTTATCAGCACTTGGGAACAAATATCGATGACAGTGTCGTCAGACTGTTCTAGAAACTTACGCATCCACTACAGTCTGTTTAAAAAATAAAAATCACGTGTGCGTGTCACACATTTCAGTATCCTTTCCATCTAATTCTCTGATACGGGTATTTTGAAGAATCGAACGTCAAGTATTGTTTTATTTCATTCGTTTTTCACTCAGAACTTACACCTTTGCGGTAAAATAGTTTGGTATATTTTGCGTTTGACTTAGTTCCTTGGCGCCTGAAATATTTGGAATCTTAAATGTCATTCAGTGTACTAAATCAGTTACTTAGAAGTCTTTTAACAAGACCCCCACAAAGTTAACATAGTTATTGTTGAAAGAGTTTTCGTCACCCCTGCTGATATCATTTGCCCTAGCCACTTAAGCCATCAAGTGTAGAGGTTTTTCTGTTTACCGCAAAATTGGGAACATGCCAAGTTGCAGGATTTTTGGTGATTATTCGTAGGCGTTTGGAAATGCACGTTGCTTTTTTCGCTTCCTTTGCCTCGTGCTATTTTCGAAGTTTGCCCGTGTGCTTTCCTTTACTTCCCTTATTTTTTCTTGCCTTTTTTTTTGCTTTTTTAAATCAATAAAGTGTATAATATAGGTATCATTGCAGAGACGCCATTTTTGTAGAGGAAGGAGTTATTTGGTATCTTTTGCAGCAAAGAGAACTGTGCATCATAGAGAAGTGTCGTCGTTGTAGAAGAGTTCGTAAGGAGAAGTTCAATTGTAGTTCTTTTGTCTTTCCCATAGTTAATTTCAAATTCTCAGGTACAGAACTTTGAAAAAGTGACGAGACGAGTTTCGCCGAATCTTCGTCCTTTGTTATGACTAAAGGTAGCTGTGTGTTCCGAAAGAATTTTGCTTTGAAGCCCGAGAATGTAAGTCGAATGAGAGAAAAGTAACCATTGTGGATCAAACACGTTTAGAACTAGGAAAGGATTGTCTCGTCAGTTAACCAGGTCATTCGAGACTGAGATTTTTTCCCTGGACGGCGTGAAATGGAATGTGGTGTGGTTAACCCTTCAAGCCGCAACATCAACATGCATCTTCTCCACACTGTTCGAGCATACAATCCTTATGATACTGCTTGAGAGAATATGTTCTAATATCACAACATTTCATCTTTGGTGATACATTTTTTCATTCTCATGACCTGTATGTTTGATCAGGCAGTGTTATTGTTTGGAGAAATTGGGTGTGGGTCACTATTGGGGCTAAAACGGTTAAGGGAGAGCCTTTTTGATAGCTTGATTGTCGTATCCTTTTCTTCTTCCAAGTGGCGAAGTGTCCACGGGTTAACATTGTCGCTTCACGCCGTTTTCTCCTCACTGCACCATGGTGTCCAATTTTAGAACCTAGGGTACTGCGACTAAAGCGCCCCACACGCACGGAAAATAGTAAAGAGTAATGTGTGCGAGAGTCTTCTCAAAAGCGAAGCTCATGTCCCCTGTTATCGAAATTTAGCTCTGTAGTGCTCTCGCATCCATAGTATTTACACTGATATAGGTTCCGCGACAAAGTGTTTACTCTACACCTTTACTGTCGGTTTTCCCTGAAAGGAGCTTTACATCCTTACATTACTACCTCGCTTCCTGTGAATGATCGAAAAACGTCGCCAAGAACCAGTTGGGAAAATGCCTTGTGCGTGGTCAACGGCAACCATGTCAGCATCCACAATTTTCTGACATAAATATTTAACCTCACTGAACGTTAGCATTGTGTGAGCCTTCGCTTACCTTAGTCAGTCGAGACAGGAAATGAAAGTAATTATTATAGGCAAATACTTTTCTCACCTCGTTAGTCATTTTGTCTGAGAAACAGCTGTTTTGCGGCGTAAATAAAACGTGCTCTATTACAATTCTTACGGAACTAACATCGTGAACCCATTAGCAGCTGGGCGTATATAGGTACTAACTCAACAGATTCACCTACTGAGTTGCACATAAAGTACTGGGGGCACTGAATTCCAGTCAACTAAAAGGTGTAATAATAATAATAATAAGTAATGGTAACAGGACTGAGTGGAGTCCAATTCGGTATGTAATCATACGAGTGATTAACAAAATTGGACGACCGCTTAGCGGGAGTCCGATTTGTTTAATCACGAGTATGATTACAGACTGAATTGGACGACACGAAGTTCTGTTACCAATTAATCATAACTGTAACAAAATTTGTGATATGTAAGCCCTTTTTTTAAATCAAAACAGAAGAAATTCCAATTTTTTTTTATGCTAGTAATGAAAAAAAGCCATTTAAGCGCGCGCTTGATGGCGCGTACTGTCCAATTACTTAGGCATGACGCGTACTGTCCTATTAAATTGTCCAATTAAGGCTGAAATCAGGGCAGTTGATAGCCAATCAGATTTGAGAATTTTGTTATAGTTATGATTATAATAATAATCATAATAATAATAATCATAATAATAATAATAATAATAATAATAATAATAATAATAATGCTTAGTAAAATCGTATAAAAACTACATACAAAACTTCAGTGATATATTCATAAAAAAACAACGTCCATATCAATACAAATCTCCGGCAAAGCCCCTTCACAATTCAAAGTTCCGAGAAATCACAAAGAGTTATAAAAAATCAAGCATAAACGTCAATGCGCTGATTTGAATAATACAGATAAGGTTCTGAACCATGAGGCGAGATATAGATCTATTGCTGGCAATTTTCCGCACCAGTTTCCCGATAAAAAGACCTAACTATAATAATACAATAATAATAAAAGGCTTTCAGAACCAGAAATTGAACTTCAGTGCAGTCTCGTATGAATTGTCTTGTTGTTTAAAGGTTTGGTAGTTTTGCCAGCTGACTGTCTGGTTTGCTTCATTTCTGGTTTTCTTTTCCTTATATACTTTGTTATATTGCAGGTGAATTAACTTAACTGGAACTTTCACTTGGTTAGTGGATTTTTAGGAGAGTTGTACTGTATAAATGGCATCTGCTGCTTCTACTGCTACTCCGAACATATCAGAATTACATAGACCAGCAGATGAACAGCAATTTTACGTTGAACCGGAGGCTCTTAAAATATTTCGATTTTCCCTCTACGCGGTTATCATCGTTTTCGCCCTGGTGGGGAATGTAACCGTGTGTGTGATCTCCCGTCGCAACCGGCGTCTGCAACGAAGTACTTACTGCTTTATAATGAACTTAGCTGTGTCTGACATTGGTTCAGTGCTCTGCCTTCCGTTTTTGCTACCAGAGTTGTTCATTGGCAATTGGTTGATGGGCGAAGTCATGTGCAAGCTGCTTAAACCTAGTGTTGTCGTTTTTAACTTTGTCACGACCAACACGCTAGTAGCGATCGCTTGCGACCGATTCCGCGCCGTTGTGTTTCCTTTCGTAACACGTCCAACCACGTCGGAAACACGTCTCATCTTATCTTTGCTGTGGTTGATCGCTTTTTTGTTTTCACTTCCATCGTACGGTGCTATGACGGTCTACAGCTTTCCTGAAGCACCCGATATCTACTTCTGCTTGGACATATTCTCCGAGGATACAATAAAGGATACTTTGTATCGTCGAATTTACACGATAATAATGTACAGTGTACAGGCCTTACTTCCAGTGGTAGTTATCTCCGTGTTATACCTCAAAATCACAGCAACGTTAAAGAATATCCGCCTGATACCTCTATCCATCAGGACTTTGCGGTCTAGCTCTTTAAACTCCACGCCCAGTTCAAGCCCAAGGTCATCAGTTGTACATATAAACAAACTGAACATGAATCCCGCAGGATTTGTACGAAGGCAGTTAATGGAGAAAAAATTTTTGAGAATGCTTATGACTGTGTTGCTTCTTTACGTATTATGTTATCTCCCATTCCAAACCTTTTATCTCGTTTACGAATTCACCCCAGGTTTGTACTACCTCCCTTATTTGCAAACGTTATCCGAGTACTTGTACTTGATTGTTTGGCTGCCCAACGCACTTAACCCCGTCTGTTACGGTTGTATGAACGAGCAGTACAAGCGTGCTTTTAGGGCGCTAATATTTCGACCCAGGAAGTTCTTCCAAACTCTCAACTTGCGGCCGAGTTTCAGTCATTCGACCGTGGTAAGGACGTTGAGCAAAAACAGAAGATCTTGACGATTTCAGTCCGCGATATTTAAATCTAAGTGTTCTTCGCTTAAATAGTTCTACTCTCGTCAGATCTTTAAGGGAACATCCACTGTCAAATTTGTAACGAGTGAAACAAAGAATCTTCTCTTACCAGAAGCAATGCGCTTCTGGTTGACACATCGTCAGCGTGAGTATCGTTATTGTTCTACTAGTGGTTGTTCCCATGGAGAACAGAAGAACTACTTTAAGCAGTCTTAAATTTTAAAAAGAATAAGGAGAAAATCTAATTAGGCTTATTATTTATTTAAATCTTAAAGCTTTCTTATCGTGTAATATAATGTATAAATGTAAAGGTGGAAAAGCTTATTAATGTCTTAAATTTCATGGCGCTTATACGCTGCCATAGATATTATTTAAAAGGTCTGTAAATAGGTTATTGTTTAATTAAGAAAGGCATCTAACTAAGATTATTATACATATTGTACTCATTATCTGTCTTCTCATTGGCTAACCGCCTACAGCTAATTTTGCAAATCTGCGCAACCTACAGATTAGTTAGTTTTCTGCTAGCAGATAACTGACTAATCTGTAGGTTGCGCGCGCAATGCAGGATCAATTCAGGTTCCTTGCGACGGTGTGTTTGTCGTTATTTTCTTCAAAACAATGTATAATAAACAATTATTAGATTCGGTTTTCGTGATATCCTAAGTAATCAAGGTCTCGGTAAGTGTTATCAGCCTCGGCCTTCGGCTCGGCTGATAATACTTGCCTCGACCTTGATTATTTCGGATATCACAAAAACCTCATCCAGTAATTGTTTAGTAGTCTTTGTAGTTTATATCCCGAGATACGATTTTCTAACCCCGTAACGTGATTTTCTGTTTTGACTTTCTGGCTAATCAAATAGATTCTATTCTTCCGACTGTATGTTCAATTCTAGATCCCAAAAGTTGTTACAATGTGGTAATTATTTCCATTACGAGATTACTAAAGAAACAAAATCCTGCCAGCTGCTACGTCAGTGCCCTAGCCTAGTTCCCAGTCCTCGTTATTTCGGGCGTCGTTTTCTTTTTCGGTTCACGTGGTCCTCGAGAGGTTCATTGTCTCAAAGGCTTGGGGATATGGACGTACGACGAAAAACTACTGCCCAGGCTTTTGCGATATTGACTGCCATCGATTTAAAACAAACAAACGAACAACAAATAGCAAGATGTTACGACAAAAAGCAAAACAAAACAGAAGAAAAACAACAAAAATGGATAACGGCCGCCTGACGCTTTGTGTATCGGATGGTTTTCAATGCGATCTCTCTAAATTGTTAACTGTTTGAGACTTTGTAAACAATTTAAGATTCTTGTCCGATAAAAGTTGCGGTTGAAATCTAAAAATTGTTTGTTCAGGTTGGGTAAATTGATAATCATTCGGTGTTCTACCCTTGCTCGTAATTCTTGATATCAAGGTTGTTTTCTTTCCTGTCGGGTAAAAGTTAGCTTTAAAATGTTGAATGACCCGTTACCCAAGGGCGTTTCATAAAAATACCAAAGCATCCCTTCGGAACGTGAAGCGACCCGTATCTCATTTAATTGCAAACTGTTAGCGAAGAATATTCGGTAATGATTATCAACAACTATTTGCGTTCTTTAAACTGACAGATCTTGTTTTCAGCCCGGTCGACCTCATTTGAACTTTAACAAGTCCTGAAGAGATCGATTACTTCTATAATAGCGTAAATTCTAGACAAGTTTCCTGTCTTGCGATAAGTTTCAAGCTGATGAGCAAGTTGTCGTATACGAAGGAATCATTTGATCAAGTGAGTCTTTAAAGATTACGAGATAGAAACTTCATTTATTGATTGTTTTTGTTAGGAAACATCATTGCTACTAAAAAGAAGCCTATGCTTGAAATATTCGTCAATGAACGGATCTCTTCGAGTGTAGGTAGGGTTCTCGAATTCGCAAATGCGCATTTATCGCATTAATAACCATGTGTAAACTGTACTGTAATGTTGAAACATCTTCGAACTCAACAGGTAATTGGTAATTCTCATAACCTAAAATCCTTTATTGCGAATACTACTCGGCCCACTGGCCAGAATTCAGTGAATAGGAGTGTTTGTTGAATATTTTACGTTGTCATTTACTTGTACTTTAAGATTAACCCCTGAGGCGATTCAAACAGATTTCAGTCTTTATTAGCACAATCTTTATAATCCATGTATGTCTGGAATTCCGAAATGTATTTGTTATAACTAAGAATTTTAATCAGTGCAGTAGCGTACCGTAACAACAGCTGTCTGTTATGGTTAAATGTAACTTCCATGAACACGTATATATAATGATAATGCATTATCGTTCTCTTCCGTCTAAGCCCGCATAGAACTAGAGGAGAATTAGCGCTCGTTGAAGCAAATGTGCAAATATATAAGTTGCTAAATTTAAGGTGACTCGACCCAGTTTTTTTGGGGGGGTACCATCCTACTTTGAAGCTCTCTGGTATCCCCACCTTTACTTTTATCGTAAGTCTAACACATAGAATGGATAACATATAGATTAATCTACAATATAACATAAAATTTTTGGCGATCGGAGTAAATGTCACGTGGTTATAATGCCACGCCCCTTTGAGGTCTGAGTCGAAAATCTGCTGTTGCCGGCATTTTTTTGTGAAAATCTCTCGGCTACACATAGTACGCATTAGTGCCTTGCGCTGAACAGAGTTTCACCAAAATCGCAAAGACCCAATTCGAGAAATTCAGCGGTTTCCAAATTTAGGTCATAATTTATGCGAAAATGATAAGCAAACTTTACACGATTATATCTAATAGTCTATGAGACCGATCACTTTATTTTGGGGATCGTTATAACAGATGGGTCATTGCAAGTCAGCAAAAAGCTTTAGGGCCTTCTAAATGCGCGCGATTTCGAGCAAAGCAAACATATAGAAATTATAGTTTTTGCTATTTATTGACGTTTGTCAGCGTTGAAGAGTCCTTCTCACGAAAAAAGCATTTTCTTAAAAAATCGTAGTTTTTTTTCCTTCAAATTTTTTCAGGGCCACAATTGATTAACTAACTACCCGGACTGTGAATTTCATGGTCATTGAAAAACTGTGACATTATCTTCTATAAGCCCAAACTTGAGTAAACATTGAAGATTTTTAGCGTTTTGGCTGAGTTTGTGCTGTGGGAATTGTCTATTGTTTCTAGTCTGTCATTATACAGCATTCTTGTTCAGCACGCGTGCAATGACCACGCTTGGCTGACTTGCAAATGCTCACCGAGAACGCTGACAAACGTCAATAAATAGCAAAAACTATAAATTCTGACTCCACTACACAACATCAACTGACAAAACGTAATGGCAAATAAGTTTATTTTGGGACGGCTCGGCGAGAACCAACCCTACAAAGTATTTATGTAAATACAATAATAGGTGAATACTGGTGAATACCTAATGTACAACACTTGTAAACTAGCTTTCACAAAAAGATAAAACTCGTGCGACAAATGGTCGCTCTTGACCTGAATCTCCCATTTAAGCAGGCAGGCTTAGTGCCAGGTAGGCTGCCAGTCATTCTGGGGAAACTAATTAATAAAACTCAGACAACGCATAACTGGCACACGGAACACGGTAGTAGCACAGAGGCTAAACAAAAAGAAAAAACTCCTCACAACTGGTCGATCTCGACCTGAATCCCCCAAATAAGCACACAGGCTTAGTGCCAGTTAGGCTGCCAGTTAGGCTGGGGAAACTAATTAATAAAACTCAGACAACGCATAACTGGCACGAGGAACACGGTAGGAACACAGAAGCTAAGCAAAAAGAAAAAACTGCTACAACTGGTCGATCTCGACCTGAATCCCCCAAATAAGCACACAGGCTTAGTGCCAGTTAGGCTGGAGAAACCAATTAATAAAACTCAGACAACGCATAACTGGCACGAGGAACACGGTAGGACCACAGAGGTTAAGCAAAAAGAAAAAACTGCTACAACTGGTCGATCTCGACCTGAATCCCCCAAATAAGCACACAGGCTTAGTGCCAGTTAGGCTGGAGAAACTAATTAATAAAACTCAGACAACGCATAACTGGCACGAGGAACACGGTAGGAGCACAGAGGCTAAGCAAAAAGAAAAAACTGCTACAACTGGTCGATCTCGACCTGAATCCCCCAAATAAGCACGGAGGCTTAGTGCCAGTTAGGCCGGGGAAATTTAATAAAACTGTGATCAACGTATAACTGGGACCGGGAACACTTCAGGAGCACAGAGGCTGAGTGCCAGGAAAACTGGGAATTATCTCCACTAATGTACCCAACAAGGCACGTAGCCCCCATTAACCAGTAAGACTGCCATAAAAGGCTAGGGCGGGACATTGAGGGTAAACAATGAATAACGACCCTGGCTAGAGGTCTGTAACATTGCCTGCAACCTAACTGCTCCAATAATGACTTACGTCGCCTCCTAAAGAGCGGTTCCGGGACAGCTGACCTAAGCATACATGGAAACTAAATATATCAAGTAAAGGAGCAGGTGCAAAACTGAGATAACTAGTGTACAAGTACATAAAATAAGAAACGGGAAAAAGGCTGAAAACTAGCAGAGCTGAGCTACCGCTTACAAACTGAAGTAAATGCGGTCAGACGGAGGCCAGAAAAAACCTAAAAAAAAAAACCCCGAAGGAAAAAAATGCGGGCAGGAAATCTGGGGTAGGAACCAAGGCTCAAGCTCAAAGCCCTTCCTACGGGACTTAACAATGTAATCGAGAATATGTTGCTCCTAAAAATAAATAAAACAAAAATTTAAGAAAAACCAAGGAGAGGTTGGTTCGTAAGCCTAGATGACGAACACGTGATATACGCAGCCTTATATACCCCCGATATGGCTACCCATGGTGCACCCGGCCTAGTACCCAGGCCCTGTTGTATCTCGTGCCGTCAAAATATTTATTTCTGCCTTCTTCGCGGGCTCATTCGTCAGAAATAACATATTCTGACTCCACTACACAACATCAACTGACAAAACGTAATGGCAAATAAGTTTATTTTGGGACGGCTCGGCGAGAACCAACCCTACAAAGTACGTAGAGTGACAAAGTATTGGGCGAAATGACAAATGAAAGCTCCTAGAGCCCAAGAAACTTGGAAACTGAAAGCCTTTTTTCTAGGTCATCATCGGTAGGCGTCCTTGGCTAGAATGGACTTTCAGCGGCCGAGCCACTGAAAGACACTGTCACAAACCCCATTATAAGCAGCGAAGGTGGCCCCTCACGAACGTAAGGAATATAAACCAAAAGTGGAAGAGTCAACCCCGACAATTCTCAGGTCCTTGCGAAAAGCCTCTCTAATTGTGGTATAGCTGATAGGCTCGTTCTGGGAAACTAACTAAAAAGAGTTGTTCCCGCGAAACATGGGGCAAAAATGAGATCCCCGGAGCTAAAGGGGATGGAAAAAAGAGCAAGGTACCTCTTTAGAAGCTTGACAGGACAAGCGGGGCCAAACATTTCCGAAAAAATCACTTCGAGTCATCGTCCTTACAAAGTTGGTCGTTCTTGCTTTTGAGAACCTTAATGATCATGAAACCCTCATGAAAGAAAATATAATACCCCCTAATTATGGAGACCTCATCAAACCTAAAATCGTTTTGAAAACACACCTAGCCCCTTCAATAATCGAGTTATCCCTGGGGAGGGATACCCGCCATGGTATGAATCCATTTAATACCATAAACATCCGAGTCTACGACGCACGGGAGTGCGACTCTTCAATGAGGTGTCGCAAATACAAGGCAACATGGCAGGGACTGGCAGGACAGGCCCAGGAATGAAGCTTACTGGCAGCAAAACATTTTTACTTGCGAGAAGCACGAAGGTACACCACTGTCGTACTAACTGCCTTTGAGGAGAGAACCGTCGATTGCATTGTAGACTGTCTGTCAGCCTCAGGGTTCAACCCTCTGGTGGGAAATTCTGGGGCCCGCGCTAGAAACCAGAGCGGAATATATCTGAAAAGTAATCGAAAATACAACAGAAAATGTGAGGATCACGCAATAAAAAAGAAAAAACACCGGAAAAGGGAAGCGGGGGGTCAAAAGGCTACATGCAAGAACCTAATGGGTCCAAACCTAAAGGTACGCATAACACGCGTGTAGAGGCACAGGCAACACTTTCCGTCAGGCGGCGTAGAGCAGAAGCCCGCCAGGGACGAGGGAGGTGTGGGGCGCCGAAAATAAACTAGAAGCGCTATGACGCCAAAAAATAAAGGCCTGGTTCTGAAAAGGGAATTACGGACCTTCCCTGGAACAAATAATCCCTGGAACTTAAGCAATAAAACCCAGTCCACAACAAAACTATTCCAATGCACTCCATCTCTAGTAGAAACATTTCAGAAAATAGCTGACTTCCATACGTGAGGAATAAGGGCTCCCGTGAGCGCGCAGAGCCCAATGTGTCTGATATACATGACTCTAACAATGAGGCAAACAGGTGGGCCAAGCCAGTTGTTGTCCTATCCCCAATTTTGAGCGAAGGCATAAACAGCCTAACAGCCTGGCTGAAAAAATAGAGAGTTAAGCCAAGGCAACTCGCCGTTGTAACTACAGGCGAACCTGTCAATAATGTAAGGACCTAAGAGGTGAATTAGCCCTAGCAAAACAAAATCGTTGAGGCCGTAACCATCGAAGTCAACGAGCTTGCAGATACAGACCGCACTAGCGTTCAGGTCCCTAGGGATCCACTTGACCTCGAACGAAATACAATGATGGGAGCAAATTTGAAAAGCAACTAGAGCTAAATTCTTTGAGATCGCATTTCCTGCTGCCGTCGCGGAGAATGGATTCGACGTTCTGGTTGTCAGAATACCAAAAAACCTTGGAATTAGATGAAGGGCTCGCGAAGGCTAGTAAGGCAAGACAAACCGCTTTGAGGTCTCTTCAAGTCGATCTACGAACACTTTCCGACCAATTCCGATAAAAATCAACTCAGGTTCAGACTCCACTTAAACGCCGCAGGCTGAATCGGAAGCATCGGAGAAGCCGGAGCTTACTCTCACTGGAAGCGAACTGGAACCCCTCGATAAATTTTGCCGTAGAGGCTAACATAATTCGACCAAAATTCAATTTCATACAAAGAATCAACGGACAGGAAAACCTAGCTATCCCAGGAAACAGCTGAGTAAACAACTGAGAAAAGAAATCGGGCCATAATGCTTCGACGGATCCCACGCTACTCGAGAGGGAAATACTATGGGCGACTACACACGGGACGCGTAGAACGTGGACTGTGGTGGACGACTAATATGAAGACAAAGCCGCCAGGTCGCGAGATAATCTAGCAATGCGTTCATCCGTGGCTCTAATACTTCCATCCAGAGTGTTATGTTGAGATGAACGCGAAGCCACTAGAAAATTCGAACGGGCTCCCACAGGGACTTTTCCTCATAGGAATTCGAACAAAGCGAGACTAAAGCAAATCGGCATGGACAGCCCGCAAACTGTAAATTAAGGCCTGAACGCGATAGGCTCCCCTCCTATAGCTAGACCATAGTCAAGAAAAATGGCAATAGGGATGCCTTGGCTTCTTCTAGATTTCTGAAGCGGTTTGAGGGAGGCTGACAAGAACCCAAAGGGAAGCGCGCAAAGTAGAAAATACCTAAAAACCCAGGTACCGAGATCCCAGGTGAACGCAAGGAAATACTGGTGATCAGGGAAAATTACGATAACCGCAATAGAGGTAAAATATGAATAAATAAAAACCCATATCAAAAATATAAGTGGCCATGGACAAGTCTTCGCACTTGAATTTCTGTTTGAAGAAAAAAAAGCAAACGTGCCTAAAATCCAGGATTAACCTTTGTTAGCCGGAGCGGCGCGTCAAACAGAAAGCGGGTAAATGATATTGGAATGCAAAAACTTTTAAAAGGAGGTTGAGGCTGGGAAGCTCATTAACACCTACGGACAAAAAGAACTGTAAACACGTGCAGAGGCATTGTAGGATTTGTAAAAATACATAAAAAGCTGGAAGAAGGGAATTTGTAACTAAGACTAAAAACATTCAAAATGAACAGAGAAACTAGCAAAGTATGCCAGAAATAGATAACTGTGAAAAATCCTCCCCAAACTGAAGGCAGAATAGAAATATCAACGGTACACTCAGAGCTCTAAACCGCGCCTAAAACTAGCGGGGTGAACGTCAGAAGAAACTGGTATAATATCGAGACAATCCTGATCCATATTACGGCTTGCCGCCTAAAAAATTCAGTACTAAATTAGAATAGACTGCACCTGATTGTTGTCCTTCATCTAGCCATTTGGGAGTTTGGGATGTTTGGCTCGTCCATCGTCGGGTAACAGGAACGCTTTCCACGGGCAAAACAGGTCCCGACACTGGGTCGTCGAGAAGGCGAAAATTAAAACAGGAACGTTTGACATGAGGCTGGGGTTGCATATGTGAAGTTGAGGTGGACGCCGGCGTTCCCACTGGCGAGGATCTGTTTTTGAGTGGTCTTCTTCTTCTTACGGGCCTAGTACGCTACACGGCCGCAAAATTCTGCACTGTGGATCCTTTAAAACTGGTTTTCGTTGGCCTTCTTCTTGAACTTACGTGGTTCGTTATACTTTAGTTTCTTAATTTCCTTCATCTGCTGCTCGGCCAAATATTCATTAGCGCGCTTGATTTGACCAACGGTTTCTGTTAACAAAACTTTAAACGAGTCCATTAACTGTTTGTTATTCACCTCAACGAGATCCGACACTTCGTCTTTGCTGACGGATATAACGCAAGAAAGAGCCGATAAGAACGTTAAGAAAAACCAAGGAGAGGTTGGTTCGTAAGCCTAGATGACGAACACGTGATATACGCAGCCTTATATACCCCCGATATGGCTACCCATGGTGCACCCGGCCTAGTACCCAGGCCCTGTTGTATCTCGTGCCGTCAAAATATTTATTTCTGCCTTCTTCGCGGGCTCATTCGTCAGAAATAACATTTTCTATATGTTTGCTTTGCTCGAAATCGCGCGCATTTAGAAGGCCCTAAAGCTTTTTGCTGACTTGCAAGGACCCATCTGTTATAACGATCCCCAAAATAAAGTGATCGGTCTCATAGACTATTAGATATAATCGTGTAAAGTTTGCTTATCATTTTCGCATAAATTATGACCTAAATTTGGAAACCGCTGAATTTCTCGAATTGGGTCTTTGCGATTTTGGTGAAACTCTGTTTAGCGCAAGGCACTAATTCGTACTATGTGTAGCCGAGAGATTTTCACAAAAAAATGCCGGCAACAGCAGATTTTCGACTCAGACCTCAAAGGGGCGTGGCATTATAACCACGTGACATTTACTCCGATCGCCAAAAATTTTATGTTATATTGTAGATTAATCTATATGTTATCCATTCTATGTGTTAGACTTACGATAAAAGTAAAGGTGGGGATACCAGAGAGCTTCAAAGTAGGATGGTACCCCCCCAAAAAAACTGGGTCGAGTCACCTTAACTAACTGAACCATCGGTTTCTGTCCCTCTCTCTTTCCATCATAATTGTCGGAGAAAATGAGCATTTAAAATGTTTCAAGCCACTTTATTTAGTTTTAAGGAAAGAAAATCAGGCTGTATCGAATTCAAACGCCTCAACCACAAAAACATGACCGATCTGCAAGTTAATTTAGCGGTTTTGTAAGTTTTAAACCGGATACAGCCTGAGTTTGTTTTCAAGAGCTTAATAGCCAATAGTTGCAAGGCCTGTAGACTTGCTACAAGTCGACCTAGTTCTTATCCCGAGCGAAAGAAGCTAGGCTAGCGAAGCGACCTTCATCGAGGTCGCGCAGCGACCAAGCGATCGACGAAGTCGCGAGGCATAACCAACCAGGAAAAAAAATTTAAAGGGCTTTTAGAAAGTCTACAAGCCTGCATGGTCCAAGCTCCCACTTGGTCAGGGTGACCGTGCAATAGAAAAAACAACAAAACGAAAAAACTGGAGGATTTTGTCTTGTCACTTGTGCCGACAGACTGAGAGCTTGGTAAAGGCTGATAGTTTTGTGCCAGATGCTTTTGCTGAAAGTATGAAATATCCACAAATCTCTAAAATCTCTGTTATTTATTGCAGGGACAACAAGCAGGCTATGTCAGCAAATATTAACGCATCAACAGTTGTGAGTATCATTACCGCCTCGACAAAAGGAAATTATTGAAGTCGACACCTTGGAAACAGTTATCCATGGCTTCTGACGTCAACGCATCCATTTTTCCTCCAAACGATTCTGAGTACCGAATATTAACAAACGAACAGCAGTCTTTTATTGAACCTAATGGTCTCAAGATATTTCGCTTTATTATGTACGCGCTGATCATTCTGTTTGCTCTAGTGGGGAACGTAGCAGTGTGTGTTATAACACGCCGTAACCGTCGCCTTCAGACAAGCACCTACTTCTTGGTTATGAACTTAGCGGTTTCTGACATTGGGTCAGTGCTTTGCCTTCCGTTTTTGTTACCAGAGCTTTTTGTGCAAAGCTGGAGGATGGGAGAAGTAATGTGCAAGTTGGTTAAGCCCAGTGTTGTCGTGTTTAACTTTGTGACGACCAACACGCTGGTGGCGATCGCATGCGATCGATTCCGCGCGGTTGTGTTTCCTCTTGTGCCTCGCCCATCAACGTCGGAAACGCGTCTCATCTTGTGTCTGCTGTGGTTAGTTGCCTTTTTATTCTCTTTGCCGTTGTACGGCGCTATGACGCTTTACAGCTTTGATGATGAGCCTTACAATTATTATTGTCTGGATATGTTTTCTTATGACGGTGAAAAAGACACTGTATATCGTCACGTTTACACAATAGTATTGTACATTGTTCACGTGAGTCTTCCTGTGCTTGTGATCTCTGTATTGTACCTTAAAATCACAGCCACACTGAAAGATATCCGACTTCTACCACTAGTGCTCAGACCAAATCAGTCCAGCTCTCTGACCTCCACTCCAAGCGCGAGCCCGCATTCATCAACGTTACATCTAAACAAGCTGAACATGAATTCTGCTGGGTTTATGAAGAGACAAGCGATGGAAAACAAGTTTCTTAAAATGCTCATGTCTGTGTTGCTAGTCTACATCCTGTGTTATCTGCCGTTTCAAACGCTGTATCTCGTCAGCCAATTCCATTATGAATTGTACAGTTTATCGTACATGCAGCCATTGACAGACTTTCTGTACTTGATTGTTTGGCTGCCGAACGCGCTTAATCCGGTATGTTACGGTTGTTTGAACGAGCACTACAAGCGCGCTTTCAAAGCGCTAATTCTACGGCCTCGCAAGTTCGTACAAACACTTAAAAAGAGATACAATTCGACTCATTCTGTTATGCTGAGCACCCAAGTAAATAACCGCATGTAGTATTTAAAAGGAAAAGGAGAATTCGTATGGACATTTTCCTTGTGTTGCTATGTCCTCGTGTTTGCTATACGAATAACACCTAAAGATTAATCGATACTAACAGTACTCTTAGTAAATCCAGTGGCAGCAAAACTTGAGGAGCGGTATGTTTGTCCTGTTGTAAATTTGGTCAGTCAATAAATTTTCAAGTTCAGTTTGTTTGCAGCATTGCTACGAGTTCAAAGTATATCATCTTTGAGGTACTTTGATCCAGGATAACTACATCCGTTCTGGGTTCCCTTCGTCTGGGGCCTAGCAATATCGACAGCTACCAGACTTTTATCCGTGTTAAATTTCTCATTGAAAATACTTAAAAACTACCATGTATTTCCTGGTTGAGCAACTAATTGTTAAATTGAGTTGGGGTGAGAAGAGAAGATTTGTCTAAATCTTGTTCTCTCTTTCGACGCTTTTATAGGGAAGAGGGGGGGTTGAGGGGCGTGGACAAACGCAGGGGCTAGCACATTCGACTTAAAGGAAGATCACTTACTGAAGTTATTATTTTTGTGTGGAAATCGAAGTAGATACATGTTGCGGAGAAGTGTTCTTCATCTCGTGCCGTTATTATTATTCTTATTCTTATTATCGATTTATTTTTTACCTAGTCCATCTAACCCTTTTAATGCCAAAAGTGGCCAAAGTCAACGTGCAACAAAACTTCCAAATTTTATTTTGCAATGTATTGGAAAGGTACCGTCTGAAAGTATTTCCAGCAGAAGAGATTCACAAATCTATTCTATTAGTAATCTGCATAGTGTTGCTAAACTTTGCTATGATAGCCATGATAGTACATACAACCTGCCAAAAATTGCTTCTTGATCATGAGCGAACGGTTAAGACATGAAAGAAAAAGGACTGAAACTTAAAAATGTTCAAATATTCTGCAACTTCGTAGAATGAATTGAATGTTTTCTCTTGATGTTCAGTGGTCATTTTGTGCCTCGGCGAAAGTGCAGTCTTCATGATTCTATCGTCAGGGTTTCTACACTAAAACTAAAGAAAATTATCTTGACAATTGCCCCTTTATTTTTTGTTCAGCTGTTTACAAAATCATGGCGCCTTTAATCATAGGATGGACACCATTACTTGAAGGATGTGTTTGTTGTACTTGTAAACACCTTTCCGCAGTCACTTAGAAAGCAGATGTAAACGGCTGTTTCGTTCTCATTTGCGTCGGTCGGCCATCGTCTTTTACTACACATTAAGTGAGACTTAGTTGTCCACTCAACTTTAGTCATGTGGCGATGGGACGTAAATAGAGTTTGAAAATTGTTTTCGCCCAATGAAATAATAATCTGGATTCCCGAATTCTAGGAATTTTTTTCATGTAGAATTGGTAATCCTGAGAATCCAGAATTGAGCCCAAGGAATCCGGAATCAAAGTTCCACTACCAAGGAATCTGGAATCCCACTAACAATTGAAATCCGGAATCAAAGTTCCACTACCAAGCCAATCCAGGACCGTCTTGGATTACCTTACATGAAGCGATTGTTTTGAAAACAGGCCGACTCCCTTTGTTCAACCTACTCATGTCCATATTCTGAGGTCTGGACTCTTAAGGGAACATTTTGGGGGGAAATGATGTTGATTTGGAAAGGAAATAAATTAGGTTAGAAAAGGAATTACACATAAACCAGTTAGTCCGCTAATGGGATCAGAGGCACCTTGTTGTGGTGGTGGACTATCTGGTAATTGTCTACTAATTATTCACTTCATATTTTAATTTTTAACAACCCCCAAATCCAATATTTTCCCATCTTCCCCAAATTTTGTACATTAAAAACATCCGAAAAATCATCCCAAAATTCACAAATGATTATTGAATTAAGGACTGTAACTTAATTGAGTCATTTTTGGATTGAACGAAATCTTGGCTCGATATTTAAGAAAAAGGGTGGAAAGCAACGAAAAACAATGCTTTTAACCGTACTGCTCCCCTTAAAACAATCTTACGTCTCTTTTAAGTTCACTAATGGCTATTTTTCGTGTGAGATCACTTTAATTTTTGTTGCACTTTGATTGAGTACAGAAAGGACATAAAACGTGGCTTTTAAACCCTTTGCTTCATTCAAGTTCGCGGGATATCAAATAACTCTTCATAACTGCGTGCTTCTAGGGGCTATTAACAACAATTCACTTGATATCTGCGTAGTGTCTTAGGTTGGCAAAAAAGCTGATAACATTAAAACTGGATCAGGATGGTTTTCAAGCACACAAACAATCTCAATTAATCCTTTGGTATTATCTACACTGAAAATACATTTGGATATTATGCTTATTTTTTTGTTGTTATATATTTTTTTAGATTTTTTTTTAATTTGTAAGGGGTGGGGGTACAGATATCTTAACTTTCTTTACCAGTAAATCTTGATTTGCAATTGCAACTTGAACCGGTACATAGAAACTAGTGTTAAAGAATAAGAGAGTTGACCATATGAAATAGAGTGTTAGGTTTTGTTTTATCGTTGTAGGGGATATGCATCTAACTTAAGTTAGTGGCTAACGGAGGCTGTGCTACGCCTGTTCCTTTCTTTCTTTCATATTGTTTTATTATTATTGTTATTATTTTGTTTCAAGTTTCTGCTTGTCACTTGTGGATGTAAATGGGTCAAAAATAGTCTAGAGAGAACACATTCATGTGAAAAGTTTTGCAGCATCACTCACAATATAATACCGTATATCAGTGTATACATCAGCCCTTTGAAAAATTTTCTTCTACCCCCCTCTCCCTTCCCAAAAAGGAGCGAGTAACGAGGCTGTTTTCATTAATAGATTAGGAGCCCAACAATCCTTCCAAAAATTCGATAGCGGCGTACCAGCGTTAGTTTTTTCCACTCAGTGATTTAATCTATTGCTAACTTAACTTGGAAAATATGATTAAAAGAAAATCAGCATTCGCAAAATTAATGTTAAAAATGCTATTCTAAACTCAAAAGAGTTTATCAAGTTTGCGAGAAGAACTGAGAAACGTGGCCGCAAAGGAACACTAATGATTCGAAATCTGATGTATATCCGGATCTAGATTTAATCTATAATGACAAGTGTGGTTTCAAAGAGACTTCATATTCTTTTTGTTGCGTTAAGAAAAGAATCCGTTTCCAGATCTGAGGTTCGGAATTATCCCCAAAGCCCAGTCTGCCATCTGCTTTCGTTTGGCTTTACACAAGAGAGAAGGATTTGAAGTCTAAAGTTTGTTTGTGATCAATTTTTTGACAAGTGTCACTGCATTTAGCACTCATTCCTATCCGGGGATACTATTTTTTATCGTCGCCCAAGTACGATTTTACTTGTCGATTCTTCCTGTTTGGTGCCCTTTTTGTCCTGTTGCACATAAAGCACTTAAAGCTTCAGTGAGTTTTGCACTTAAAATGTTCTAATGACTTTGCATAGGCAAAGGCTGAAAAAAAAATCAATTCTAAGGGGAATGCAGAACAACTTATTGTTTTTATCCGCAATTCTCAACATGAGACTTGAAAGTTAGTAACCCGACCACTAACCTATTTGACTTAGTGAGTGTTGTTTTTTCCATCTTTTCCCTCTTTGTTTTTTGTTTTGTTTCTTTTTTGTTGTTTAGAAGTCGAAAATTATTGTATTCAATATGTGCAAAATGGTAAATTGCTACTTGACTAACATAATTTAGGAGCAAATGTAAAGGGCCTCTTATTATAGGTTCACTTAATAATTTCATCCGCCATTTCCTGTAACCCAACACTGCCAATGGGGAATTGAATTTAAATTGTAACAAAATTTTCAAAATGCGTGAGGGGAGACGATACCCACATTTTAAGTGATTTTAGTTAATTTCGTTGTTTTTTGTCGGCTAATAAAGTTGTGAATTCAAAGAGATTATATCGTCGGTAAATTGAAAAACGAAATACAGGGTTAATTTTGTTACAGTGTATTTCTGTACTAGTTTAGATCTTTTCGATATCAAACTAAATTGATCGGAAAATTTTTTACCACAATCCGTGCACTATGTGTATGTTTCAATGTCTTTTTGTATTTCATTTCATTTTCATTTCTCGTCTACAATTTATATATCCAGTTAGATAATTTAACTGCTTTGAGAAAAAAATTCGTGACCATGGTGGTATAAAGTGAGAATTGTCCATCATTCGAGCAGTAAGTCAGAGTGCCACCTGAGATCTTCATTTAGTGAAATCCTTTTGACACTGCCCATTTTTAAATTGAATACGAAATGAAAGTACCCCAAACAATCTACCGACGTGAAATATAAGGACCCCCTTGAAGAGGCGACCCTACAGGAACTACCCTACAACCCTGCGATCAAGGCAGCATGGAAAGCCATCTTGTGCATCCCACGGGTATATGCAACATCATCTATCGAGCTGGTACAAGTAGAGAATGAGCGCGCCTCGAAATTATGGCTGACAATATTAAGAAGTAGGGGCTAAAACGTATTCCTTTCTACAGCAAAATATGAAGCCAATTGCAATCCTGTATACTAATACACACAATATGAGGTTGAATGTAAATTTCAAATCGAATCTGGATAAACTGTACAGTAGATTTTGTATTGGTTTTCCACATCTATAGTATTTTGTTTATTGTTGTGATAGTTTTAATTTGCACCTTAGTTGAATGGAGTTACACGATGGTTCGTCTTAAACGTGCCGGATAAACTGGTTTTTTTTTAAATTGAATATAACAGAACAGAACAGTTCATCACCAAGTGAAAACACTTTTTATTAAGTAATCAATATTTTCCTGTTATTTGTATGTAGAGGCTGTGAAAAGTAAACAGTTTTAATGGCAGGAAGGGGAACAGGATATGTGTTTTCCGTCTGATATGTAAATACAAATATATGTCTTGATCAACTCATCTTAACTCTTTCGAGTGTTCAGTCAAATTCTCCTTTAAACCTTAGTGATTCTAAGAACTATGGAGATTGCTTTAAGTTTCCCAGCTGCTATAAGCAATTCAGAGGCCCACCCACTG